TGAGGTAAAGGTGAAAGTGAAGGGGTAGGGCAAAGGTCAGATTTGGTGAATTCGCGACAATGCGCAAAGCCACCAAAGCTGCCATTTTTGTTGTTTTTGAATCTGCGCGTTAGATATATGATATAATTGAGTAAAGATCGATAAATAATATATATTATACTCACTTTGAGGAGGTAGGGGTGGCTGGTGGTGGTGGAGGTGGACGGGATGGGAGAGGTGGAGTTGGTAGGGATGGTGGAGGTGGATTTCAGATTGATTGGAAAACGAGTTGCTGGCTAGGCTCAATTGGGCCTAGCCCTGCATTAGTCGCCAGGACCATGAATTAGGGCGCCACAAGCACTTGGTAAGCATTTGAAAAACGTTTTATAAATGTTCTATGTAGAGTCACGTGTGGTCATCGGAGCTCGGATGACCGGTCATATGAGCACTGCCTAGAGGCCGCAACGTCGGGTGGATGGTTCCCAGATCGAATTGCATAGACAAGAAGTAGACGATCGTGGATTTCACATCATTTTCTGCCGTAGTTATAACGGCATTACAGGCGAAAGGGCAAGCTGCTAAGTAATACTGCCAGGTTTGACGTCTGCTTGGTGGCTAGCTTCAAATACCAAAATTGGTCCAGCTACAACGTTTCATCATGACCGATATTATCATCGACCAAACGCCTCCTATTTTGCATAATCCTTCCGACAAGGAGAAGAAGTATGACAGACAGCTCCGCCTATGGGCTGCTAGTGGCCAACAAGCTCTGGAAGATGCGCACATTCTCCTGCTTAATTCTGGATCGGGGGCCGTTGGTATCGAGACCTTGAAGAATCTCGTTCTTCCAGGTAAACCCAAAGCTAGGCAATCCTAAATGAGCCTTCTAACTTTGTCTAAGGTATTGGGAAGTTTACGATTGCAGACGAGGCCATTGTTGATGAGGCTGATCTTGGAGTCAACTTCTTCTTAGAGGAATCCTCTCTGGGAAAGCTTAGATCGGAATGCTGCACAAAGCTTCTTCAAGAACTGAATCCCGATGTTAAAGGTGATTGGTTTCCACATGAGCAGGTAAGAATATATAAAACCCAACACATTGTAATCGAAGGCTTACATGGGCGTATACAGGGTGAGACTTTAGAGCATTTGTTTGGGAGTGAACAACGCTTTACCTTAATCATGTATACCCTCCCGATCGAACCCAAAAAAGTCGACCTCATCCATAAACATGCCAGCAAGCACAAGATACCCGTTATTTCGATTCACTCCGCAGGCTTTTACTCTTACTTTCGGATACGCCTCCCTGGAAATTTCCCAATAGTCGAGACCCACCCGGATTCCACTGCCACGACAGACTTAAGACTCCTTACCCCTTGGCCAGAGCTATTGCAGTTCACGGAAAGTCTCACTGAAAATATTGAAAACCAGAGCGCACTTGAGCATGGACATATACCATACGTCGCCCTATTACTGCATTATCTCGGAAAATGGAAAGATATTCATGGATCGCTTCCCGCAACGTACAAAGAAAAGACAGCTTTTAGAGATACCGTGGCTGCTGGGGCCCGTAGAGATAACCCTGAGGGTGGAGAAGAAAATTTTGATGAAGCTGTTGCAGCTGTGTTGAAGACAACCTCTTTACCAACCCTGCCAAGCTCAGTGAAGGAGGTGTTTGACTACTCGCCGAGCGATGTGCGTATTGGTACCCAAATCACAAGAGAACCTATGCTAATGGACTATCAAAATCAGATGGAAGCTTCCTCGAGTTTCTGGATCATAGCTGGTGCTGTAAAACAGTTCTACACAAAGCATGGTGCCCTCCCCCTGGCTGGCTCGGTACCAGATATGAAGGCTCAATCTACTGTCTATGTCAAGCTCCAGAACATCTACAAGGCCAAAGCTCGTCAAGACGCCGCCGAAGTATTGAAAATAGTCAGGACCCACCCCAGTGGCAAAGATATCCCTGAGGCGGAGGTCGAGACCTTTTGCAAGAACGCTGCTTTTATCAAGGTTATCCGCGGCACAGATACAGCTCCACTCAATATACAAGATATAGCAAGTACGTGAATATCGCCGCCGGCATCCACTACCGTAGGCTGACGTGCATTATAGACAAGGAATTTGACAGCGATGAGAATGCGGCGCTGGCCTCGATGCCTCTATCATTATTTCCAATATATATATCCTTAAATGCAACATCACATGTTGCTTTTGCAAGTTCGTCCGATATACTTACCGCGATCAGCAAATCAATTCCAAATGCGGCTTCCAACTCACGCCTTGTCCAAGCTGCCGAGGAAGTAGCACGAGCAAAAGGTGGGGAACTGCACAATATCTCTGCTCTGACTGGTGGCATGGCTGCACAGGAAGTGATTAAAATCATCACAAAGCAATATATACCGATCGACAACACGTGTGTGTTCGATGGTATATTGAGCAGAACGCAAATGCTGAGAACGTGACCAAGAGTTACTGGATCTAGAGGCCGTGATGAGGCGAATTCTAGAAATGAAAGGAAGAGAATCATACATTGGCGGCGGTGTGGCTGGTCCTGATATCTTACGGTCAACGGCCTCGGCTTAGAATTTATATTGTTCAGGCATCAACACGAGGGCTCTAAGCCTCACAGCCTCTGGTCATATGGGAAGTATCTCTATATTTTACACCAGACCCACAAAATCAATATAAAAAAGGGCCGCATCACATGGAGCTCATCTATTTTTGCCTTCCGGTCCTCCGCCAACCAGAAGTTTTACAGGCAAGTCACGCACCTGAATGACCGCCAATTCGCCACAAATCAATATTATTCTGCAAGATTACAAAGACCAGATCTAAATTGCTGCTATTTACAGGAAATCGCTGCCATCCCCACTGCCAGTCACATGTGTAATGCGCTGCCAAAGCACGTGTCCTGCGATATTGCTGTAGTACTTTCGTACAATCCCCGACATTGCTTTTGCTTGCGGCGTCACGCAGTCGCTGTTCCCCGCAGTTACACCATCTTTCTGAGCTCTCATCGTCGTCCCCGCCTTTTACCAGACTCTCGATGCCTCCTTCTCCCTTGCCCCCTTTCTCGTCGTCCCCAATCCCCTCATTCTTCCCTTTTCTTCAGATCTCGTTGCGTCGCGCCAATTACCTTAGAGAGGCAACAAATCAAGCAGATCGGCCCGCTTTCCAAATTAACCATGGCCCTCGTATCTCTCCATTTGATCTTTATGTCCGAAACCTTAGGGCGCAAAGCGCGGGCCAATTCTCGTCGATGATCGATGGTTCGGCTCCTATCAGGAGGTTTCTTGTTCAATCATCCCGAAGGTCGATTCTTTTCCCAATTCCCGCCCCGCACTCCACGCCCGTCCGCTTATCTTGGTTCGATTTGGCTCATCCTCTGCTTCTTCCCCAGGTTTTAGTGACGCAGGGCGATAGCCTGAATTGTTGCCAGCCGTGCGTCGGCAAACTCGGTGGCAGGGTGGCATCTTAGGGCTTGGGGGCGACGCCTTCTGGCAAGCAGGGGATTGCGGGCAGCCCATGCCTTGCCTTGCCGTACCTTGCCTTACTTTGCCTGACCTTGCCTCTCCTTTTCTCTGATGCAACACATGCATGCGAGTGATCTTTTGCGAAGAATCCCTAACGCTTTCTTCTGTGCGCCAGATGATGCATCTCCCTACTTCGGCCAGCGAGATGATCCGGTATTGCAGGGGTCTGCTAGTAGGGTAGGGATTCGGGCTTAAGAGCCCAGATTCCATTCGAGCGGCGCCAGCTGGAGGTTGAGAGGGACATGGATTGTGAAAAGACAGCGAAATATAGAGGGGGAAAGGTGTGGAGTCACTACAAACACTGTGGAGAGTCTGGAGAGTGCTGAGGACCCTTGGGATCGCTTTCTCTGGGGCAGAGGGTGGGGAATCCCCGGGGAACCTTGAGCTATCGCAGACTATCGCAGGCCCTCTCCAGGCCATCCCAGCCATGTTCGGTCTTGAGTGCCGAAAAGGTTATGCGAGGACGCAGCCAAGCTTTGAGGAACTGGTGGAGGGTGCACAGGGGACGATGAACAGCACAGGGGCAACCAAGCGAGAGTGCTACGTACGAAGTACTCGTACAAGCTTGCAGGCGTCCGGATTTAAGTGGTACCGAACTTGTGAAAGTTTGGGAATGGCATCGGATTGGTCTGGGAAAAGCCAAAAGTCGATGCTTTAACAAGATGAAGAGATGTGAGGGCGAAAGAACGACGAGGGGAACGAGCAGATCTCAGCGAATCTATTTTCCTCATACGGAAGTGGACCTCGTGCAGTGCAGACCGAGGTAAGGACTGTCAATCGAATGTTTGTGGTTCTGGACCTCGTTCTTTGCTTGCTAACCGGCGGAAGAAGTCTCAGTCGCTACCAAGAGAACAAGAGACAGAGCGATGGTCGAGATTGACTCTACGAAGTAGACTGAATGCTATTGACGAAGCAAAAAGGTGAAAATTGGGGAGAAGGAGGCGCCCTCAAGAGACCTATCTAACGGCACACATCGGTGGTGTAACCTCCGCATAGCCTTTGCCGGCACGCAAGCGTTTTGCTCTACGGATATCTCCATAGTTCTTACTTCGCCTACTGACTGTTGTTGTACAATGCCGGGCTGTCTCGCCTTTTGGCTTCTGGAAACAATATTATTCTAACATCTCCTCCGACAACATGGACTCCACCCATGAACTCCTCGTTCAATTCCTCGTATGTGTCCACCGCCACCGCCAACGCGAGAAGTGACGAAAGCTAGCTCTGCAGTCCCCTCTCGTTTCAGTTCCTCGCTGTACTACGAATACCACTGAATAGCATAAGAAACTTGCAATGCAGTACGCTACGCTGCACTGCTGCATAAAATCATTCCCGACCTGCATTCTGATCATTTTGCCTTGCCCTGGTTGCCTCTTTTTCCGATGGTGGCTTGCGATCTTTCTTCTCATGTCTAGGCAGCATGATTTCTCGCCCTCCAGGTCGCTGTGGACCGCTGCATGTACCGTACCTACAGTAGTATGGCAGCAGCTGCAACGGTGTGTCGCGGTACTGCACACTGTACGTAGTACTCGAGTACTGTGACATACGATCCTCTCATAGCCCAAGACCATTTTCAACAGGCACCCTCGGTCCGTACCGATAATCCCGTCTGCTTCGCTAAGTTCGTTTTTATCCAGCTCCTCCTATGCCGACCCCGATTGCACCCAACTGGTTAAAATTATCCAGCGTCCCGAGTACCGCGCGAAATATAGAGTAGCTACTACTCTTATCTATTTTCATCCCTCGTTATGCTACTGCCTGGGAGTGCCGGGCAGCCCAGATCCCAACTGCAGACGCCATTATTTACATTTGCAAATGGCGCACTACATCCTACCCTGCCCCAGAATTCCATTTCTTTAGATCGCCAACCCAAATCATCCCACAGCTTCTCCCAATTGACGCTTGTTAATTCTCGTACCGTTGATCCCGACTATCCACGCCCCCGCCCTGCATGTCTCATTGTCTCTTCTCCAGATTCTCCCGTCCCGCCACCGAATGACCCGAAGACAACCTAAAACTTCTCCACAAACCTGCATCACAATTGCCATCCAATCATTCTCTATAGAAGCCAAAGAGAAAGAAGGAGAAGCAAAAACAAATATCCGATGATGATGATGGGGTTACGAATAGGCTGAATACCCTATTCGCCCGCCCGCCCTCCAGTCCACACCACCATGGAGGCTCAACATCAACCCTCTGTATCAGGTTTCTGTCCACAACACCAAGTTTTTGTGTCTTACCGCTCCTTGGTTTTCACATACTACCACTGTGCATTAGTTAAATCGACATTTATACCCTCCAAGTCAATTTCTAAGGGGGATCGACACCACCCTTGTCTTCATTCGGCCGTCCAGCCAGCACGCACGGTACTGCTGTACGAGCAGCCCTTGTCCAACTCTATGTATGCTGGTACCTCCAGGGCAAAGTTACAACGTTGCGGCCGCATACGCAGGTCACCTCATACACTGACTGTACCAAGATGGGCCCCCAATCATGTCACGACAACCTAAAAAATATCCCGTGCCAGGGTCCTGTTCCTCACTGGACCGCTGGCTGCGTGCGGTGCATGCATGCACGCATAACCTCCACAAACGCATAGTAGCCAACTTAACAGAGCGCTGATCTCAAGGGAAACTCCGGACTCTCCTGCGACAAAATGGCATAGGAGGCGTAGACGGGAAGGACCACGGTGACCGAAAGGTAAAAGCCATCAAGAATTCAAGGAATTGGCGCAATCCTAATCGACCATTTTCGGAAATCAGAGAAGTTGCCGATGTGGCTGTGGGCGTCGTGGCGTACCGGGGGGCGCGCCGATTTAGGAGTCAGGCACGCCGGGCCTTCCGTTGGATCAAAAGGTGCTGCTTCTCTCGTATGTCGGTATCGTGAGGGAGCTACGTGTGCAGTATTTTTGCTGTATGATGCCGGATGAAGAGGATGAAGACCTTGGGCACCAGACCAGTAGCAACCTAACTACTATTTTCAACTTTGGACACTAGGCAGTGGTAAGTGACTCTAGGTTTTGCCGTGTAGGTCAGAGACTAAGAAGCGGTAGCTCGCAGTTAGAAATAGACCTGAGGCTCTATTATACGTTACCGCCCCTTGTAAGTGTTGGGCGCCGAATGCCAAGAAGGAAAAACTGGATTATGAGTGAAGGCAGCTAGTTGTGGAGGAGGTGGCGTGGTGAGTACGACGTCGGTGGTCATTCCTAGGGAGGTGGCGTGGTAGAGCTCCAGTTAGTCACAAGGCCATGTTCCAGGCTTCGTAGCGCTGTACGTAGAATGTTCCATCTACGGCTCTGCACAGAGCAAATGTTAATAGGAGAATATGGTATTTCAGAGTGATGAAGTTTTACAATCTCGAAGTTTTATAATCTTGAAGCTTCTATGATTTTGAAGTATATGTACTTGTATCGTCATCGTCATCCTCATCCCTAGACATCCAATTTTCAAAGTTTTCCTTAATTCGTTATGTAACAGGGGTATAATAATGTGTACGACTTTCCCAAATATAAACATGTTAATAGAATGTCTCGGACTCGTAAGGTGATGCAGGTGAAGATGCATCCCATTGTTGAAGCAAATTGTGGTGTATAACATAAACCCATCCCCAAAAAGAAACCCAACGCACACTATGGGTATCACCAATAAATAAGGTCAACTATCATTCCCAATCGTATATCCCCAACCCCGCCCAGACCAAAGAAATCATAAGACGAAAGAGGTGGGTGTGTTGGTTACTGATGCATCATCATGTAATTCCCGTCGTAGTGGCCCATGCCGGCGTCCTCGAAATCCATCGCCATGCCGTCATATGGCATGTCTAGCCCGTCTGGTAGACTGCCCCAGAGCATCCCGTCGAGATCCCAGATGCCGGGGTGGTCCATCAATACCATCCCGTCCTCGCCCATCATCTCGATATGCGGTATCTCTGGTCCGTCTAGCATGTGTCCATTCATTCCGTTCATCCCATGCATCATATGGTTCATCCCATCGACACCAGTCATTCCATTCCCGTTCATGCCATTCATAGAAGACGGAGGAGTCAATCCGTTGACCCCATTTTCGCTCTTCACCTGTGTTGGCCCCATCCGCGGGCTGTTTTGTCGTGTGAGAGGACTCTTACTCGCCTCATACATCTTCACTAACACCTCCCGACTCCTCCTTGCAGCCAGCGACCAATCAGTCATGCCTTCAAAAGCCTCTAGAACGACCTCAATCTGAGCCTGACAATCTCGGACGAGTTGTGTGTTCCAGGACTCCCAAAACATGCTAATAAGTGGGATCATCGAAGCCTGATACATGAACCAGACTCCATTCCAACCCAGCATCTGGTTTGCAGTCCATTCGCGCGCGATGTCCTCGATCGTCTGTTTTGCGATGGTTCGACATCTGTTGACTGCCTCAAGTTCGTCCTGGGTTGCTGTCACTTCATTTCCGGCGTTAGCGAGATTGAGGAGGACGGGCCGATGTAGAACAATGCGGAGGTTCTGGCAGCGCCACTTCATGACACAGCGTGCCGTATAGATCGATTCCGGACAGGGCTCTGTCGATCTTAACATGTACGGGAGATTTTCCTGCCATGCGACGAGTTGATTGTCGAGATTGGCCCGGTCCTCGGGCCGAAGTAGCGGTGATTGGGCTAAAGCATCTTGAATTTGTGTGGATATTTTGCAGAACTTGACGTTCTCAATCATGAGCGCGTTTCCGGCATTCTGTCCCATTATCCTCTGTAAGTATGTTAGTTTGATATGGATCGCGATTTACTCATACGACTTACCAAATCATTCGTCTCCTCTGGCGACCGTATCGTGATGCCCGGTCCCCAGCGTCCCATAGAAGGCCGACCAAGCGTAGTACCTGCCCAAGTGTCGACACAGAATAAACTCCACCATGTTCTTCTTCTTTGCTCGATTAGCATTGTACTGGCATTAGCCTGCTCAACCAGGCCCTCTCTATGAAGTCCCATGGCACAAGCCATTCGCAATGCAGCGCCCATCATAGCATTTGCCATATTGGGTCGGTTGATGTAATGCAGATAGAAACCGCCCAGCAAAGTTAGAGCTTGTAAAGTCTCCAAGTGCCCACTACCGAAGCTATCGAGTCCTAAGTGCTCTTTTGCCCGTTGGTAGTAGGTGATATGGGAATGATCGTCCGACTTGTTTGCAGCAATGCTACCCATTGCGAAGACCATGTTGAGAAGGGCCAACCATGGCGCATCATGGCGTCGTGCATTCAGATAATCGGCCCTGAAGGAAGGCTCGTCGAGCATAGGCACTAAGATCTGGACTCGGTTGAAGTAGGCATCAATTAGAGTCTGGCCCTCCGATGACCACGTAATTGCGAGTAAGCTCTTGACAGGGACACCAGGCCGCGGCGTAGGGTAGTTGCTAGCGACGTTTGATTGCTTGTTGTAGCTGTTGCCGTTATGTGAAGCGGCGAGGAAGGATCGTAGCTTTGGTGCTACCTTCAGGATCACGAGGAAGGCGGCCTTGATCGAACTAGCCCCCAAATATGAAGTCTGCCGATCTACAGATAGAGATAGTGCATTCACATCGTCAGCTTCTGCTGGTATTGGGTCTCGATTTCGTCGCTCTTCATCCCATTCCGTATCTTGGCTAGGTATTTGCTCGAGATGAGCGAGAGTCCGGTGATCTTCTTCAGACACCGAGGCGATGGGTGAGAGTAAATCTTGGGAGATCTGGGATAGTGGCGATGTGGTGCTATGAGAGCCAGTTGGTGATGTCTGTGCTTGCACACTACCACGCTGGTCGCCGCGATCGAGGAGGACAATCAACTCTTGGCGGGACAAAGGGAGCAATGACTGTGGATCACGAGTAGGATATAATCTTTTAAGAACGCTTCGACATTCTTCGAGCGATTGCGAGAGCGCATCAAGAGTCCTATTGCGGTGTCACCTCGTTAGCAATGCAGCACACGTTATTGCCCCACTACCGCATCGGGACCGTCGCAGACGTACTTGCGAGATGGGATCACCCGTTGACGATGTTTGTCATAGTAGCACGGCTTTGGCGATCGACATCCAAGACATTGGCCACACGGCTGGCGGCCGTCACACCGAATCTTTCGTCTTTTGCATTCTGCACACGCATGAGGAGTGGTGATCCTTTTTGATACTCCATTAGTTGTGGGTTTTGGTGCTTCTTGAGATTGTTCCGCGGTGGGCCGAGGTGGAGCTAGGCCTTGGACTAAGTGCAAATAGACGCAGCGGTCAGTATCCAAATAACTTGCAGCTTCGGAATCACTACTAGTGCTGGGATCTATCTGACTTACAGGTATGGAACATCTTGGACGATTCAAGTAATGGAGTCATGGAGAGCGGTAGAGGTCCCCGGTGGACAAAACCGTCTTTAATTCTCCGATTCAGAGGAGTTTCGACGATGCAAGTTACCCTTCTCGGAGGGAGGAACAGCAGAAGTTATGTGCGCTGACCAGACGCAGTAAGACAGGCGTCGGTAGTGGTAGGTGGGGGAAGTCCAAGAACTCCGATATTGACCACTATCTTGCAGGGAAGATTTACATACACGGACCCTGATGGGCGGTTTGTAAGAGCTTACCGCAATGCCGTTCCTATGGCGGCGGGAGGATCCAGTAGCGGACTCGGCCGTGCCAGCGAAATTATAAGTTCGTTGTAGACAAGGAAGTCTCAGGGCTGGGACTGGGTTGATGCGGTACGACGGCGGTAGGTAGTATATGTGCGGGTCACGTACTTTCGTATCGTTGGACTGTACTTTGGGGGCACAGAGGGGTCCAGAGGAAACTGCGTCAGCACGGGGGGGGTGAGAAGGGGGCGCTGGAAGTGTTCGGCCGGCCGCAAATATATATGAATAAAGTCCAAAAGTAGGAGTGGCCTGTGAATAAAGTGATTGTTGCAACCTGATGACTTTAATAGTTCTGCCTAGCCCTGAATGGACACCTGGTACAAAACGGTGGTGAGGTGAGGCTTGATAACAAGCGGTGATATAGAGCTAAGCTGTGGAGACTAGATGGCAGTACAGTAGTTTACCAGGTCGAGAGGACGGAGAAGGCAGCGGGTGCGGGACCGGGTCATCGTGAGATGGACTGTCCAGATGAGGTGGTGGATGCCGGTGAACAATCGTGGTTCGTGGGGGGCCAGGGGTAGCGGGATAGAGCTGGGGAAGGGATCCAAGGGAAAGGAGGGACGGGCCTGACAAAACTGGGGAATAGTGGAAGAGGTGCTAGAGCTGGAGCTGGAGCTAAAGCTGGGAGGGTTGCCGCTGCTTGCCCTGTACTGTAACAAGTTGCCTAGGGAAGAGGGTGGCCGAGCAAGGTGTTCGGCAGAGTTCGTGAAGAGGTTTGAAGGGGGGCCAACGACTGGCAACAGTATGGCGAAAAGAGGAGATTGCAGGGGAGTTGATGGCCCATCTTGGGGGGGTGTTCGTGACTTGGAAAAATTACAATGCAGCTTTGCGGAGTGCAGCCCAGCCCAGGACTGCCCCGCGTGCAGTAACCCAGGCATAGCTATAGTTGTAGCCACTGCTTTGGAGTTTGTCCTGTAGCTGCCAGCTACTAGCCACTATAGCAGGCTCGTAGTGCATAGCGAGTGACCGCGGTACCAAGTAAAGACCGGCACTGGGCCCGCCACCGGCTCAGAATTCTAGTGCTCCTTCTTCAGGGCTTCCAGACAGCCGTCCTCAAGCCGCCCCTGGGCCATGTCACTTGTCACTTTCTCATCTGATCGCTGGCGGCGGGATCCCCGCCCATAAGACGCCAATCCATAATGGCCCGACGAGGAACCAGTCAATGCGTACTTGGACGAGGGGGACTCCCTGTCTGTCCCTGTAGCCTCCGTAAATCCATGATCCCTCTCTTCTCTTGCGCATCTCTCCCCTCTCCCGCAATAATCTGGCGGGCGACTGATGAGAGGTACGAAGTACTGCTGCAAGGTGCTTGCAAGGTGCGCGCTGCTTGCTGGCTGTTGGACTTCGTATAATTCTGCTGTTCCAACTTCCAACCTCCTAGGTACTTCCCCACACTCGGAAAATTCATGCGTTCCAAAGTACTGTACACCACCATGAGGCCCAGCAGAGTTGTAGTTGGAGCAATGGCGGAGAAGGATCTGCTGCCAGGCCCGCCCTTCAGCGCTGCGGGCCACGGCCTCTGTGTTTGAGACCGCCAACCCTCCAGGCGGATGCGGAGCACACTGTGACACCTTAACAATATTTCAGGGTCGCCGATAGTGCAAAGTGCTCTATTTCCAGCAACTCTGTTGCCTCGTCCACGTCGACAGCCACGTGTGCGCCGACCTGCAATCTCCGTTTGGGCGTCCAGAGTAATATACTTGCCTCTCGTATCATAACATATAGACTTCACAGTGCACACTATTGACGTCCAGAGCCACACGTTTGAAGCCAGGCCGGTCTCGAGCACTCAGCTCGGGTTGGGGTTGCGAGGAAAGCGATCAGTTCATCAAGGCGACTTCGCTACGCGACACCCGCCCGCCCTTTGTCATGTCATGCAGAGAATTTGATATCATACCATGGTAGCTATACGTTTTGAGGCCAGGATCGCCACCACTCACCATCCCCGAAATATCGATTCCACCGAAAGCTTGTCACCGTACTCGACCAAATGGACCGACGGCCATCAAGCCCTATCAAGGGGTGCTAAAGGCGCTTGCCGACCGAGCCAGCCAGCGAAATCGTCCCGCCGCTTTTGCGCGCCGACCAGTCGCCGCATAAGCTTTCTGACCTTGAAGCCTCAGAGGAGGCTGGGAAATTGATTAAATGGCGTTCATCTTCGACAATTCTGGGTCTTGTGCTATATTAGGGAGTATCAGCTGGCCCGCCAAGTAGGAATAAACATCCGACTGCATGTACCCAATGCCAGCACGAGCAAAAGGACGTCGTATTTGCGTCCTGGAGTGCGCATTCTCTCCCAAAAATTGCGATCCGTGGTCCAGCAGGAACCAACCTAAGCGTGCGCATTAGAGGGGGAGGGCCTAACGGTGTACAGTTCGTTGAGCGTCACGATGCTGCTGGCGCTGCCCGTCCCCGAACCTAAACACTGTTCCCGTCGTAATAAGTGGGAGCAGTGGAGCTTGCACATGAATAATGAGGGATGAGCACGTCGCTTCTAGAGATTAGCAGCTGGTTCTCGAGTAGCTTGCCCGTTGCATCCGGGCTGATACTGGTAGCCCCGCCCCGCCTTCTAGAACATATGGCGTTATGGTGTAAGTTCTTCAGGTACGAGCGGATGTCTGGCGGGAAGAAGATGGCGTCTGCTGGCGTTGAATGCTGCGGCGCAGAAATCTCACGATCTCAGTGCCGAAACGGTTTTTGTTGTCCCGCCAAGGCGTCCCGGCCAATACGAAGCATATCTTAGCCACGACTAAAAACCAGCAGCAAGGCTTCAAGGCACGGGAAACGCTCTGTACGAAGTAGCGTCGATTCTCCTGAAGAACGGTGCTGTAGGTACAGTACATGTACCTAGGTAGTAGCTACTAGCTGCTTGTACCCCCCGTTCCGTGTACCGAGCATCGGTACATGTCCTTCCTACAGGACTTGTCGACGTTGACCATTATTATCACCGAAAATCCAATCAGCCCAGCCATTCCCGTTCTGGTCATACGAGCTCCAGGACCCTCGGCTGCATATCAAGCACTGTCGCTGTGAAGCAGTGTGGCACGCAACGGTGCTCAGGGTGCGCGGTGCGCGATGCGGCTGGTGGTAGCTTCTTGCGCAGGAAAAATGAAACCGTCAAAACGCGGGGAAAGGCCAAGATCAGAATTCAAACTGACTTCGCCCAACGTTGACGACCAGACACGGCCATACACAGCTGGCCTCATTCTCTTAATGCGTCTATCTTAAGCCTCTGTGCTACCCGCGCGGCGGTCATTCAGGCAGCTTATCCGAAGCCCTCAGCAATATATCCGGCGAATCAGTTATCGTAAGACGCCCAGTAATTGCTTGGCGCTCAATATGTGCTTCACCATATGACCGAAAATAAGCAGACCTGCATCAACTTCTTGTTCCTGGCTTCTCGCTTCGCCCGAAGTTGAGGTAGAGTCATGTCATAAGCTCCTTGGGAATCTGCTGATGGAGTCGACGCCTGGTGGGAAATGGTATCTGGCTCGATGGACGTGGAGAACCATGTTTAGCGGAATATGCATCTCGTATGAAGACCGAGGAGACAAGGTCCCTATCCTCTTTACTGCAATCGGGATCGAATTGTGGGCAAACGAGGATTATGTTTTCCCGTCGTCAGATATCATATTATCGTAGTTCTGGTATCGAGTAAGGATGACGGCCATCCGAGATCGTTTGGGAACTACAAGCAACATTGACTCCATGTGATAACCACGCAGTGGCAGACCCATTCAAACTTCGAGTTCGAAACGAGAGCAGTACGCAGGTGGTAAGGTAAACGCCCCGCAACACTTGCATTTTCCTGTGTCATAACAGGATCCTCTTCAATAACATAATAATTTCGACCCCGCTGAGGCTCTTTCCCAGGCCGTACCATAACGATTATAACTGAGCGTAGATGTTCGTGCACTGGAACTTTCGGATAGAACTTGATAGGATTACAAATTGTGGTAGCTGATAGCCGTCTGTAAGCCATTATATTATTGAGACTTTCTGATATATCCAACCTCAAACTCCAAACGTAGTTTGGTTGTAGAATCTCCGTCACCAGGAGCTAGATTCGTATGATAATGAGTCCTGCTGACAGAGAACTCATGGTATGCTGTGCGAATATGCTGCCGATAATTAAAATATAGGTCATGACGGCTCTGGCCTTGAACCGTGAGCTGATGTTAGACTCGGACGACGTGCGAGTCTACTGCTGAATTTAATCTTGAGGCCAAGAGCTCGATAGAAGCCGTTTAACAAGATATTGATTCCAGGGATTATCTCGATAAAACATTCCTCATATTGGGCTCGTGGGCTTAACTAAGCATTGTTAGCCCTGTCCAGCTTGTAAATCGGGATTGATTTATTTATTGTAAATCAAATATATTCAAAACGAAGGCTAAGCAAGTATGATTTACTTTGTGCATGGTGTCGGAAATAAAACCTTGTGTTATGATAGTAGAAGTCGCTGGGTAAGTAGTCTGAGACAGAGGAAACTTAGTATCGAGCTCGTATGCGTAAACAACACACATCGAACTTACTTGAAACGAATTGAAACGACGGATAAATTATTCCGGGTCAACGAGTCATGTTTGACTGACCAAGTTCGAGGATACGAGGAAGTTAGATAGCATTGGAGTCTAGCATGCGAATACTAATAAATTTTCTCTACTATAAGCATGTATCGAGGGTTCCCACTGACCATAGGATTAGCATCATCCGCAAAGTTCTTTCAACAGTTTCATTTTCGTTAACATTTTTCATCAACAACCTTCCCCTGTTACCAGGACGATGATTTAGCAAGGCTGCATAGTTTGTGCACTGACACAGACACCAACACCATTGGTAATAATCCGCGAAAGTGAACAGAAAAGCCGTACTATCAAGCTCCCATTTATCGATCCAAGGGACTAAACTTTTGAAATCACCCCAGACGATATCACGGTGCCACCACTCGATGCATTTTAAAATCAAACTTCTAGTTTATTTAGATAGGTAGAATAACAACAGGAGAAGTTCGTAGGCTAGCACCCTAAATCTATAATGAGATAGATAGACCAAGCGAGTTGATGTCTCTAACTAGACGTATAGTTTGATAGGCAGTAGAGGAAAGCTGATATAAAGGGAGAGAATTCAGGTATGAGCCAAGCCCAGCAGATATTCAGATACAGATTTTGCACAGCACAAGAGGGGCGAGGCATACAAAGCCTGCGGTTGATCTAAAAGAGTTTGACAGAACTATCCAGTTTTGCGTTTGTGGTTCTTGAAAACGATTTCAGCCCTAAAACTGGAGCCCCATCCCATAACGAGCGAAGGCCAAAATGAGGTAAGTGACTAAAGATGAAGTAAAACGATTGCGAATATCATTTTGAGTGCCCAAAACATAACCACAATAGGCAAGTAACACTTAGCAGACAGCGACAGAAGACATTCATCCAAGGGCTAGTAGCATAGAGAGAGTCATGATCGACTAGAATTCCTGGCTGACAAAACTGACTTATGAGTTCAGAAGGAAAGTGCTTGGGGCTGCTCTATGAAGTAGCGGCAGAAATTATTCACTCGACTGATCGAAATTCAACCAAACGAAAGCGAAACTATCCTAATGCAAACCGTCTCATATTCTATCAGGTTCCAAATTGTGTTGAACATTCATCGGGTGGAGAAATAACAACCTGGCCCGATCATTCGAAATACAACACAATCTAAGCTATGCCATTCAGTCAACAGTGGGACGAAACAAATCTAGAAGCCTCTTTGATTCTTATTTTGGGCCGTGGAGTGCATATATCTTTTCTCTGCCCTAACACCTGTCTCTTATACACATCTAGATGTGTATAAGAGACAGGTATAGAGGGACGGCCTAACTCTATATTGAACCAAAACTGAATACTGTAGATCCGAATTGTGCTGATTCTCTCAAAGTATGTCTGAAGTCAGGTTTGCATGCTAGCTATGGCGTTTCTTGTTGCTTGTGGCAGTTAGTTGGCAGGCTCGCCAGCACGATATAACTTGCATTAGACACCTCGTCTTGGCAGTTCTAGATGCCCTTTCCGGGCATGTTCTCTCACTTGAGGGGCCCGCCGTACTGTCAGGCGTTACCAGAGAGTCTGGGCTGAAGATACTAATATGCTGCGATCAACGGGTCAGCATTGAGCAGGGAGGGTTTGGGAGCGATGCTGACAACTAAATGTTGGAAGAAGGTACAAGTTGCACGTAAAACGGCGCTATGCTGTTTTCGGATAGCTACCTGAGATAGCTAATAAGGTACCTACTGTAGGTACCTTACCTATCTGGTAGGTACGCCGTATATGCTCGACCAGCATCACCGCATGTTTGTCCTCCGCCGCCTCATTAGACGGGACACAGGTTGGAAGCTGGCGGGTGAGAGCGTGCTGTTGTTGATAATATGGAGGTGACGTTGCGATGCAACAATTTGAAATGTCGCAAAGAACTCAATGGCCACGCAGTAGTCACAACTTGCAGGTACCTTACCCACCTTCCAACACCCTAACAATGGAGCATATGCCACCGAGCCTTTTCATCGCTAACATTTGGACAGCCATGTCTTCTGTATTGACTGCTCTAATCGATGCCAGCTCTCTGGTGCCCGCGAAGGCCTATGTCCTGTGTGCCCTGCCTGCGACGGCCAACTCAAAAATCCAGACGATGTCGTCGTCACGAACCTCAACCCTACCGAAGATTATAAGACCAGCGTTCTTAGCGGCCTAAACCCGAATATTATAATGGAGTGTGCTGGACGAGCATTGAGTTGGTGGGCATATCAGGCAACCCAAGAGATGTGGGCTGAACTTCCATCCTTACGTTCTACCAGTCGTTGACTGGTTTTAGCATCTATCAGGAGTACTTGGCCAAAAACCTGTCAGAGAAATATTCTGCTCTGAATCTCCAGATGGACAAGATAATTCATGATGCCAATTCTGAGATCTCAAATCTACGTAGCAAGATCTCGAGTAGGTCCACCACGGAAGTTTGGATCCCCTAGGCTGATCGCTGTCCTAGATCTCCAGGTTGAATTGGACGGTGTGAGGCGCAAGAACGAGGATCTCACCCAGGCTATGCGCGAGAAGACTCGCAAGCACCTGCAAACACAGGAAATGTTCGATAAGCTGAAGCGCCGGTCCATGCTTGGTCAGGTGCAGAATGCAGCCTCCGACGCTGTTGACGACACAATCCAGGCCTCCGTTGCTGCGAATCGGTATGCTGACAGAATAGGGAATCCAAACCAGAGGCCACCTCCTCCACCTCTCTTTGCGCCCCAGCAAACATCCAGCCAGCAGTATTCAGGTCCTACAAGTATTCCACACAATGTGGCATCCCAACATAGGATGGATGGAAACAGAGAGGCTAACTGGACTTTGTTCAGCAGCCAGGAGGGTATGCAGCGTATGTATCACTGGATAATCTAGATATTATGCTGTGAAACTAACTTGATTTTGAGCACACCAATCTGACCAAGAACTCTCAACCCATCGACACCGACTCGGGCCAAGCGGCCAGCAGCCTACACCAAGAGGAGGTATCGCCAATTTTCCGCCGAATGGTAGCAGCTCCAGTGCCCAGATATCTCAACGAAGGCCATCACCTCGACAGCCGCTAGGCAATATTAATACGAATGTTGGTAGTGGATCGCCTTTTGCTGGTTATGGTATGAGTGCTGGTCTCAAGGTTAGTAATCCGGCTGGCATATCTGGAACCAGCGCCGGTAGGCCTTTGATGCGTTCAAGGGGTAAGTTATTATTGGCGGGCTTATATTCAATTTACGCCGCTGATATGCCTAGCGGCTCACCGCTCAGCTTCTGGTTTTCCGCCACGCAGGCAAGCAGCGTTTGGCCCCTCGCCAACCCCGAATATGTTCTCAACCGCATCCGACTTCTATTAATCCTAAAGTTCCTACACGATTGCTACACATTGCTACACAGTACTAACTTTTCTGACTGCTCTATTCGATAAATAGCCTCCGACAGCTGAATTTGATGTGCGGGCGGCGTGGCAAAAGTTCCGCAAAGCAATAGTATAGTTCCTTTGTTCATTGCCCTTATCTAGTGACATAAAAAGATAAAGTTATGCAATGACCGGCCTGGTTTCTTAAGGCGGCGAAGCTGTATCTTCTCTTTGTTGATTGTCCTCTTGATGACTAAACAATGTTATATTTCCGTGGTTCTTTGTTCTCTATAAATACAGATAGACTAGTACTCCTCTATAATACTTTGGAGCACCAATTTTTCCTGAATTCATTTACCTAACCTCCCAAAATACTTTCCGCTTTCGTCAGTGAGCAGTTAGTACCGCTTATTCCACCTAGAATCTCACCACACTTTACATCGCATTACGAAATTCAATCCAGAAGACCATATGGACCGAGGAAATCAACCCACTATGTTCACCCCAGGACACAATATTAATGCTACGTTGCCCAGTATTAAGTCTAGACCGCACGGCGAATATAAGACGCAACTAGCGGCGTCCCCCGAAGATATTCCTGAGGAGCCAACGCATTATTCAAGTGGCTATTCGATTAATGAGCCATCTCATAGTTCAAGTGATAGATCAACGGCTGGTCCAAAGGGCGGTCCACAGGATATTTCAAAGGATGGCTCAGCTCATAGTGGCGCACCACTCATGACTGATAACACTCAGCTAACGGAACGAGATGAGCGAAGACCTTCATCCTCTAACGTAGGAAATAAAGGTCACCGTCCATACAATTGGGGAAAAGCGGCACGTGGGTGTTGGAAGTCCATGAAGGCGAAATTTCCCTTGGATAAGAGCAAGAAGAATGCGCCGGAGGATAAGGGACAGAACGCCCCGCCTCTACCGCCTCGCCCGGCTACTCAACTTGCTAATAATGCAAATTCGTTTTGGTCAGTCGAACTTATAGTGGCTACAAGCCACACTACGGTTCCACCACCCCGAAAACGCACTCCAACCATTCCGCTGAGCTCCAATCCGGTACCACCCGATTTCGAGCCACCACGGCGCATCGCTTCCTCCCCTCAGCCCTTACGTGGGAATAGAAGTGGAGTGGATACGCGTGATTGGGCGAAACACCCTTCAGAGTGACAGTAGAGGAACGACTAATTTGTTATGAGTAGATTTAGTGAGTGGTCGAGTAGATACTTTTCATCACAATCGATTTTTTATATTTAACTTGACATGCAAGCTATGCAGGTGGCGTTGAGAGAATATTAAGGGACAACATAGCTTCAACATGACGTGACAAACTAGAGGTTTAATAGTGGGGATGGTAATGATGGAACAAACTCTGTGCAGAGCTAGAGCGCTTTAGATATTACTTTTTTACCTAGAGCTGGACTTGCTAAATGACCATACTAACGTCCCTCCCTGGGGGGTGTGAAACCCACTATGCCGCGGAAAACAACATGTACTTCGGCTTTGAGCAGCTCAAACTCTCAAACTCTCTTATACTTTCATGTAAGTCGTGTTCTGTGACCAGTCCTGAACACCCAGGGGTACAGCTAGGAGCCAAATTGGTGTCCTCCTCCCTGAACACTTTGAACAATTTTGAGCAAACGGAGATTATAATCTCGAATATCACCTAATAATCATGAATCTATTTGACCGAAGTCGTGAGTGAGTCAGGTTGATTCTGGCATCACCCTGACAGGTCAATGCTGGTTCTGCCAGTATACGCTACTAGCGGGTTCAAGCTACTTGTCCTTCTGTAACGATACAGTTATGCTATTAGGGGTGTGGGTCCCTATGTATGACTCAAATCCTAGGAAAACACACAGCATGCCGTAAAAGGACAGATCTACATTAAACTGGCCCATTCTGTACCACCAGCGAAGGCACTCAACGCACGAAAAGATTGACTCCAAGGCTTCCAGTGTTGGCATCGGCTCTAGCATTGAACGCCGAAGCACTTGGCAGGTGCCTATTAAGCATCACTACCGCATATGCACACACATTATCACATAGCACATATACTTAAGTGAATACTTTTATGAGTACTTCCCATCTTCCTAATGGTTTCCGTAAGCAGGCACCAAATAACGTCATGAGATCTTGTACTGACCCATTGCGGAAATGGAGTAAACGTATGCATTTCCCCATTGATAACCAATGTCCCTTCAAATCTGTTCAACTGCACTCCTGATCCATAATACCGTAGAGTTTTAGCGGTATTAATCCAGGTCAAATGGTCCATTATAGTGCGAATTCTGTCAAGGCTGGATATTAATCGTTTGAGGAGGACAAGTAGTTCCAGCCAAGATGTCAGATACTGCCTATCGCGATCGTAAGAGCAGCGATAGCCGTGCTTTGCTAACGTAGCTTGCACGCTTGTGTCAAGCATCTCATCGATATGCTGCAGAAACTGTACGAGGTCTGGTGTTTTTTTTTCGAAGTCTCCGGTGCATGTGAGTACAAACTCAGTTATCTCATATAATATCCACAAGCGCGGTTGGAAAGGAGGGTAGAAGTACATGAAGCCACAATTACGGATGATGCCGGATATGGTCTGCAAAGAGCGATGGAAATACGTTTCCTCCGGCACTGATCGTGGACTCTGAGGCATGCACGATCAGTCTACCCAAATGTACAACCATGTTTGCGGTTCGAGTTGAGCCTAATGAAGGCGCAGATACTCTCCGTTGGGGTCGGGGTGGTCCTGCGTGTCCCAGAAATGGCTGACGAAAAAGCAATCGCGCCGCAGAACGCAGCCCTGGGTGGCAGGTAGGAGGATATAGTCGTCCAATTTATCGCTCGACCACTTTTCCATGCGCTTCTGCGATATGAAGGCATCGCGTCTTTGGAAAAACCAGAGCATTATAGGCTTCCCACCTCGAGCAAGGAATTCGTCCAAGGAACGGCATTTCTGCAACATGGACGTGGGAATCTTTTTGTGAATGGTTCGGCCGTCTGCAGTGAGATCGTCCCATGCGGCGATGCTCCGACTAACGAGCGAGCGCCATGCGGCAATGCGCACGAAGATACTACTGAGGAGTTTGACATAGCAAGTAGAGATAGAATGATGCTCTTGAAGTCAGGCCAGCGCTCGTGATACTGACGACAGCCCCGTGGCTCACCACGGTCAGTCAGCATGTGGACGACCAAGTAGACTAGCCAAACTTTGGCATGTGGCTGTTGCTAATTGGACGAGGTGAGTAGACTGGACGTGTGCTGATACGTGTGCTGATACGTTAATGCTATGCTACAGTATATCTATCTAATGGGGCATCGTACTCCCTACTCGTAGTGTAGCACAAACTACTGTCGCAACTGCGATTGATAGGAAGCCAGTTTCGCTAAGGACTCTACAAGATAGTGCCCAAACTAGCTAACCTCAGTCTCAGCTTTGGTAAAGAATTGTATATTCGCGAGGGAGAGGCATGAGATCCCCGAATATTAAATTTTTCTCAGCACAGTCGGGTTCTCGTCACCTAGAGAAGGATGTTAAGCTTGGAAGCTGTTGCAGATATAGATCTTTAGATTAGGAATATCAGCGCTTAATTTACAACAACAGACAGGAAAGTAACTAAAGTAGAAGGATTAGAAGTAAAGTCTACGAGTTTTTACTACTATTTTGTTATTTTCAATTAGACGTTATAGAAGGATATACGAAGGGTATATATATACTCTATACTCGCTATTTAAGTAAATTTATTTTATATATTTACTTGTTTTAGAACGTATGTAAATACTATATCTACTAAAGTTGATTATAGAGTTTATACTAGAGATATTTTACAATTTTACACTTATTCCAAATTTCATACTACACTAATCATGTTTTATTTTTGGCGATCTTGATAAATCCGCTCATATACGCCTCGAAGTGGTATATAACAGTGGCAACGTTTATAGTACTAAGCATAAATTTATACAGTTCCCTGTGATCCAGAACTACTAACAGTATTATAAACTGAATAATAAATGTCGGATTAAAAAACAACTCCTATTTTGGCCAGTAACTTAGATTATTGTAATCTTGCAGAGGAGGATTAAAGGATTTATTATTATCTTTCGGCTTCTCAATAATAAAAATGAGTATGCTATTATCTACAGCGAAAAGCCCTAAGTTATAGTTATAAACTTGTGAAATGTATATCTAGGCTTCCTTCCAAGTAATTTTTATTTGATTTCTCATTGCGATTAGCTTATTTGGCCGAACGGCGAAGGAATGCGCCCAACGAAAAACATAATAATATGAACATATGCGTCGAAAACGAGGAACTGGCAAAGTATACACCTCAATATCGAAATATATATGTTTGAACAGCTTGGAATTTAGCCACACATTTCATTGAAGGTAATCTGTATATCCTCTCATATCGGGTAGCTAGTCAAGACTAGCAAAAGCTCTACCACCCACATCTGCCAGTTTTCACCGCTCGCTCGGCGCAACCTCGCCACCATCGAAAGGCTATATATATCCAAATAAGCAAAAAGCATTTAACGACAATCTAGCTCTTTAAGACACTCCCCACAAGTGTCACACGACACCTCATATCGAAGAGAAATATAACTAGGTCTAGCGACAAAATAGAAACGGCAGAGATTAATTGGCTGTGGGCAATGAACTCTTTTGCCTTTTTGGCCTTCTGAAATTTATTTTATATAATTGCTTTGCTTTTGTTTAAACCCACTTGCTTTTTTCCCCCGCGAATATTTGTGGGACCAGGCCAAGCTAGTTGAATATAAGAGGAGGGACGTGATATGATTTGTTTTAACAGCTCCGCCTATGGAAAATGTGTTTTATGGTTACTACACTTCCTAAAAGTGAAGTAGAGAGGCTAGTCCCTTCGGTATATGTCCGGTCCCCAAGATTTCTAGTTACATTTGTATCGCGCTGCGTTTACTATTGACTAAATCCAAAAACCTCCTGATGCTTCCCTTCGTATGGTGTTGTTCCTGTTCTATCCGCGGAAGATACTCGCACTAGTCCCATGATCCCGGCTTACCCGTTGCAACCCGCACCGGTCCACCCGGCAAAGCGGGTAAGGCTTAGTAGGGCGGTAAACTAACCGGTGTGGTACTGGTGGATCGGCATGGGACAACCGCACAGGGATAGGGATATACGTACTACTTGCAAGTCTATATGATACTGGAAATGAAAGACTAACACTAAGTTGGTAATATTTGACTATTTGATTTATAAATACTCGTTCTAAAAGAAGGAAGGAGGGCCAAGATGTGCCGACTCGGGAAGTCCGGTCTATTTGCTGTGGTAGCACTGTATATCGCCAATTCCTGGGGTACTAGCCTGCTAGGCACCAGAATGTGGCCAATTCAAGGAAGACATCATATAAAGATCGTTTATAATTCAATGCGCACAACGGATAATCGTCCCAAAAGTCTCAGTGGAGAAATTTTCGCGCGCGCTCATTGGTATCCACCATGGCGGGAATTGGTGTTTGTACTCGGTGTATACTCCGCTGAGCGGTGAAGCCTAAAGGGGAAATTTGGAGACGGTGTGGTGGTGTGGTGGGGGTGTGTATCATAGGTGCTGCTAAAGTGCATCCGCGGATGAGGCTCTGGAATCTGTCGGCGATGTCCGATCTGACGGAGTTAGAGGACGTGTATACTGTGGTAGACTTTTCGAAGTTCAGGCGGCATCGTTGTTTGTGAAGTCAAGAGAATCACCTATTGCCATCGAGAGGGTTAATGGGAATAGATTTAGTACGAAAATATCTGGCCTGCAGTCTGAGATTTGGAGCTTTTAACTATCTGTAAAGAGTTGGTAGATAAGAGATCTACATTTTAGGAAGTACATAATTAAATAGGTGGCTGAAAGCTCGGTCTGTTTTTGTGTCTTTGTGTGCGAACGACGGGGACTTTAACATGGCCCGTATTCTATAATAAAAGAGAGAGGCCGCAGCGTGTGGGTGCTGTTGTTGTAGCAGGTGTATAGGTGGGGCCAACTTGGAGAAAGATAAATATAAGACAGTAATGCAACCTATGAATCTTCACCCTCGTACGATCCTACAGACAGTACCCAGAAAATTCCCAGACTGAAACCAAGGTGTAAGCCCCAAGTCTTCCAAATCATAAACATATAACCATATCTAATATCTGTTCGTTGACAGCGCGATTTTGGACCTGGCATGTCGGCATACTCTTGTGCCGCGACCGACACCTCGACATTGCCAAGCGATATTCAGTGGCGAGCACCAGTGGCATTCTGATTGTAGACATATCGGCCCTGGTGGTACTCTCCAATGCGGGGCGACGGAATTCCAAGAGGTATAAGCTCATGGCAAGCGAAGTCCATGGAATATCGTCCAATTGGGGATTCTTCGAAACCCGCATCCTGGGTCATCTGGATCAAGTGATTTTGTCCGGCCATAGTTTGCTGAATTACGCCATTTATGCCATTGAGGGTTTGGACATTGTGTGGGGTACCGTGGTATCCGTTCGAAGCCGGCTGGCTGGTATAATTGCCGTTTTGGTACAACGCAGCTGAGGGTGAGACACCATTGCTGTTTTCTTCAATGGTGGGCTCGAGCTCATCCGCGACTGCATTTTGTGCAAAGTCAAAGGTTGACGGTGGGTAGTAGCTCGGGTCGGTGGGGTAAGTTCCAGTACGGGTTTCACGCCCCGAAGCGTCAGACTCAGCGGTACCGTGAGATTCGCCCTCGTAAGCCTGTTCACGGGGGTTGGTAGGATCAGAATTTGGATGGCGCCTGGACCGTCTATTTCCATGCTGTCGATCAGCTCGAGTCGGTGAACTGCGAGTAGATATGTGTTGGGAAGCGGATTCGGCTTGGTGCACACTACTAGGACTGCTACTGGAAGCACTTGTAAGCAATCTGAGTAACTGAATCGTCGATGATTGAAAATGGAGGTTCAATACCGGTTTATAGAACCAACCTGGGCTTCTGTCGAGGGAGTGGAGTTATTAGAATTATTAGACATGATGAGATCGCGTGGTGAGATATGTCTAACTAAGGTTGACTTCGAATTGTTTTGGTTCCGTGCTGCGTATCGCATATGGGATGGGTAATAATAATGTGGTGGTTTGAATGGACGAAGGTAGGGCTAAAGTGCTAAAGTATCTAGTTCCTGGAATATGGTATGTGCGGAGTTGGCGTGGATATATAGTAATATTTTAGCGGTAACGATTTCACAGCGAGAGTTGTGACCAATAGTGTGAGTGAAAGCGAGTTGAAGTGTGTCAATGGGAAGCGGATAGGGTTTTTTAAAATGGCGCTGGGCTATCGTAGATATATATTCAACGCCAATGAAGAAGTCCTGGGGCGGCAAGTGCTGGAGATGAGGACCGATTCTATGACCAGCTCATAGTAGCGGTCAAAGGAGGCTTTTATACGGTATCGCCCACTGGGGATGAAGTACGCCCAATCTTCCACCGATAAGGCTAACAAGGCAACCAGACTAGTTGTAAATCACAATTCCGTTCTTGTGTTCCCGTGCCATCAAAAATTAAACATTGCGTTGTTCTGGGCAGTTGAAACAAGGGACCTAGTCCGCTAGGTACTGGGCGGAGCCACTGTACTTGCTATTAAAAAGCTGCTACCACCTGTCGGAGCGCTGTTACTGATAGCATTGCCCCTAGCCCCTCCTCGTCCGCGATGCCACTAGAATCTTGGGGGTTCGTCTTAAGATAGGGGCATCTCCGCACTCCCGCAGTCACACAACCTGACATCTCTTGTTCTACTCGACCCACTTTGGCCATGGTTTCTGGGACGTTTCAGAGAGCGGAAACCCCTCGACAAACAAAAAATTCCAAATGAAAAGGACAATCCGACTACGTGCTTGTCGGTATGCAGAGTAAAGGAGTTCAGCCCCCAATAGAGCAAATTCCACCGAGCTTCCACGCGGGAGACAAGAGCAATCAATGTCAAGGTCAATGCTTCAAGACCTGCCGGCGACATACGGCGTCGAAACTGGGCGGCAAACGACTCACCCCATGGCGCAACGCCCGGCCGAGACTCGATCAGCATGCCCAGGCGATGTGCAGCGACGGTGATGCTAAACCAGGTCACTGGGCTCTAGGCTTAAATGTGAAACGGTTCAAAACGAGCCGCATTTGGGAGGCGCTTTTGCGGGCCAGTTTGTATTTGGAGCCCGGATATTAGACTCGTACTTGTGCTACGCACCCTTTGGGCAGTACATCAACTGGTGCTAGCTGAATGACAATGACGTCCGCTTGCAGACCCGGATGTTCTGGCGCCTTCCACGCGCGGCCAGGCAAGATCTGCGGGATTCTGTACCGGGGCTTTGTGAATGCAGCAGGCCATGGATGGCGGCCGAGGTGAGCCGTGGAACTGGTGGGCGAGGAGGAGGGCGACGTCGACGTTGACATTGACGTTGATGGTGACGGGAGGATATAGTTCGTAATCAATATGCGGTATAGCGTACGTACGAGGACCCCAGGGGTCGCTAGCGGACAATGCAAAATTGCGCAATCATGGATCGTCGCCGAAATCCTCATCTCATTATCTCAGCTATGGCATCTGTTCCCTTACAATTGGCTCTGCGCCTTGCAAAGCATTTCAGTCAACTCTGCCTCGATATTGTTATTGTTACTGCGCTATACGTACCTATGTAGGGCGTAGGCACCGCCTACTATGCTGCTGCGCCTGAACTATACGAATAGGTTGCCTTGGGTCTCATCGGCCCCCAACTCTTCGTCTAGCTTTACCTCTAAAACAACACATAATAATAACAACACAACTCTGCCTCACCCTTCCTCGCGCTCGCGCTCGCGCTCGCCAATACGCCTTGGCCATTAGAATCCCCCTTCAATACGAAGTATAGGGCGCGGAAACCGAGATCCAAGGCGCACGACAGCAGATGATGCCGTACCCTGCTCCTGCATCTGGGCTTGCAGCTCACTGGTAGCACGCCGACAGGCTCTGCAATGTGGCTCTCCCTGAGATCTATACACCGGACCTGTACCACGTGCGAACGGACGGGTTATTGGGTTGCGGTGCTAAGTTCGGATTCAGTGATCGGGGCATCAGCCGTCCATCCATGCAGCATCTGCTCCATTAGAAATAGAAACATCTTGGGTTCTCGAACGGAGTCTGAAATATGATATTGGCTACCTGGGGGCTATGGGCCCTGGGCAACGCATGAGGCGGCCTAGTACACTTCGAGATCCTAAGGAGAACACGCCTCCCCCTAATATCCCAGAGAGAACTAGTCCCCCCCCCCTTGAAATTTGCAGCTGTATCGATGATCAACCCCCGAACAGCGCCTGTCGCCTGAACGACATGTAAGAAGTTTCAAGACGCGTTTTTCACATAGGCGCCCGTAAGTATCTGCTCAAAGCCGTTTGAGGGCACGATACCGGCTGTCACCTTGGGGTGGCCCGATGAAGAAAATCAATTCATTTCTGCCGCATTTAATCTCTACCCGAGTATTCGCGGCATCCATGCTTGTGGAAAGAACCTTCTCCCAAATCTGATCTATCACATACGACCAGTGCTGTCTTAGAATCCGTGTTGTAGCTGTTTCCAACAGTTGGATTCCGGGATCCGGAATTGACACGCTCTTTCCACTAAGAGAAGCCTGCAGCGCTTGGCTCCTCACCAGGCGGAACTATCCTGGGAAGATGCGCTGTCAAAGGCGTTGGGACGGGGAAGCTGGTCGCGATTGTCATATAATCGACAAATTTGTTCTCGGCAAGAAGTCTCTGCAACAAGGTATCTTCATGTAAGGTACCAATGGACTCAAAGCTGGCCATCAATATGCGTGTCTGGCGGCGTCATGGATTGATAATTTCATCATTCTGCAGGGGCTATTGGGCAATTCAGGCCATATCATTCTGCTCCACGGAGGATCAGGACTTCGTGTTAATCTCAAGAGTCATTTTGAACTTTCATCAGTCTGTTAAGCAACAACATGGGTGTAAGGAACGTTAGCCCCGTGTATTCAGCAGGCGAGGGGCCATGATTCGGAAGAGCATTCCCAGGCACCATTGGAAGTGGTGTCGATGAAATCTCGTTTGAGAGTAGCTTCAGATCATGCGCACATGTCATTTCAGCTGCCCCAGGAACAGCAATGGTCTAATGAAGATAGCCTCTGTGTCCTGTTCTGTTACTTGAAAAAGTCGTCGATTAGGGGTGTATACCTCCAGCTCGGCCGTGATAATGGACGCCATCGAAAGTGCCCAACTAGGGTTACATGAGCCTCCTGGTCCACATCATCAGTTATGATCACCAATGCTCGCCGCTGGCCGGAAATGAGCTCAATCAAAATTGATGTTTCAAGCTCCTTCTGCTGTACGAAGTCCGCGTCTTCTTGTCCTCTGGGATGCTTCTAGAACGCTGTAAGTGCTCGCCGCACCACAGTGAAATCAAGTGCGTTTACTCAGGCTTCGGTTGTGACACGGCATTTTGGTACATTGGGATCTCACGTCATCTGCTCGTCTTGGATGGAACAGGCTTGATAAAGCCCCTCGTCTTTGTGGAATAAAATCCCAATCTGATGGCTGCTCAGGCGGCCATATCTGCGGGCCATGCCAACACATCGAACATGACACTCCGTGTTTAGCGGCTACTACCACTTTGCGTAGGAGTCAGCTTGAGGTTGATAGAACATTTCGCAGATGCCCACCCAGGTGCCCGATATTGTGCACTCAATTTTGGGCGGATAGGCTATTTCGCCTAGACTGCTGCTTTTAGTTTGCGGATCTGTTGATGTGCCGACTTGGAAGCATCACGTTATTGCGGAGCCGCCAACTCTTACATATTGCCGATTTTGGCCTAAATCCGTTCGTGCGACTCAGTATATTAGAGTTTAGACGTGCTCCAGAAATGGGTATACATCCCCGGAATTTTGCATATTATTTCCCGAAGGGGTCTTCTGTCTCTCAAGGTGTCTACTACGTCCACGCAACGCGAAGCCAGCCTTGAACACAGTGGACTTTTCAATCTGCCTTCGCCGGTTTATCCGCATAATAATGGCTCCATCGCGAAGCCTTGCTACTCACTGCTAAAGAAGGCTAGAGCAACTGGAGAAAATTTCTTCGTTCTGTTGAAAAGGCCACATCAAGTGGCCGCCGAGGCCCCCAATACTACGTTGCACGGCATTCCAGAACGGCAGACATCGCCCATGCTGTTTCAGATACTTTCTTCCAATACCACTGAAATATTGATAATGGGATGCACGACGTTCGTTTGGGCACAATTCCGCCCAATCCCCTCGCAATAGATGATGACCAGTTTGCCGCGGGACGAGATTCACAAATCTGTCGGTCAAAGGCTGTTCTCGATTTGTCCAAGTTTCAGGAAGAATAAAGCCATTCTGAAACCCCCGCCAGCCCCGCAGGGATATTCATCGCCCTAGGCAAGACGGTGAGTTAACACACATGCCATTTCAAGAGAGTATCTTGTGGAGACACCTGGAGCGACCACAAACCCCGGGCTAGCTACACCGGGACTATCAGATTGAATTGAATGGCAAGAACTCCACTGTAGCTTGAAACAAACAATCCTCGCCTTGTGCCCCGTACTTCCTTGCAGATTCCCTCTCTTCTCAGCCCTGCTGTCAAGATTGCTCAGTCGTGTTACCGGGTGGGCTTACCTACCGACAGACTGTCACAGCAGGCCGCCGCGACTGCACGTCCGGAGTTCTATGCTTCTGCTAGGGGTTTGAATCAACAATTAAGAAAGATCGCCGGAAAGCGTTGACACCATTCTCGGTCGATATGCTAATTTCGCGTGCGTCTCCGGTTCCTCCTTGTAGCGCTTTATCTGAGGTTCAATGGCTGGTACTCTTGCATCTGCCTCTTTGGCACTTGGCTAGATGCGGTCTGGTAGCCAAATCCCCTTGTTATTCTATGCTGTTAGCAGTTAGGCAACTACAAGATTTATTGGAAAGGATCAGGGGACAAGTTTGTCGAAGTTGGACCGCCAGGGTATTGCAGCACTCTTGTGCGATGGAGATTTCACCTTCCACATAAGGGAAGGGAAGGTCTGTGACAGGAGGTATCCCCGAGGACGGGACAGAAACCCGAACGGGTGGTCAGCGCTGCACAACATTTCAATCTCCACTTCCACGTGGCCCGGATCAGCCCCTTTGCCAAGTTGTGCCCCATGGAAGCATCGTGCTAGCCCTACGGGGGCGAATATGCTCTCCCCTAAGTTTTCTTTTTTTCTTGGCATACCAGGCTTTCTTATCATCCAGGCAGAAATATACGCTGGACAAGGTTCCCCTATATTAATTCTAACGGCCCTTTCAGCTGTGGACTTGTTTATGTATTGCATTCAAATGCAGGATTCTATCGATTCATGGTTTAGATCTCACACTATTGGCTACAAATTTTCTAGTTATCTACGAGGATCAAGATAGCTGAGCATCTTGTGCTAGAGCGGTTAACTCCGTATTTACCCAGGTCCCGAGGCAACCATTGGGCCTGTATTGCGTAAGGCGAAACAAGGCAACAAAGAGCATGACACTGCCTTGTTGTGTCGGCAGTTAGGGTAGCTCGTAATTTACCCACAAGTACACTTTTCATATTTGAAAATTCCCGCAACGCGCGATATCCGAGGGGTCTAGTGACACTGCTGCATCACACTAAGACGCCCGTCTCAAGGTGCCACTAGCTCTGACATCTTCGGAGACGAAGCGTCGACTGGACTTATCCCACACATCCGAACTACTATCCTCACCAAGCTCTGAGTATGCACCAGGTGGAATGAAGCGATGTAGTAGGCATGGTCATCATCCGGGAGAGTTCTTCCCCCCCTTCACACCCGAATACGACCAGGGGAATTATTGATTTCATCAGCAAAAGGCGGCCGAACGATATCTAAATAGTAGCGGTGAGTATCGCCCCAAGTACGTCATGGAAGCTGGCGGCTTCAATGGCGGACACGCAAGATGCAAACGATCCCATCATACTTTCTTATGGACGGACAACATTAACGAATAAGTAGGATACAGCATATTGTAAGTCAATAAAGAGTAGGACCTAAAATTCCAACCCCCCTTTACAAACTCCTAGCATTTCAAGCTCTTCTTTCGAAAACCACAAAACCGACTACAATACAAACTCTTGCAACCCCCTAATGGAATCAAACCGCTACCTAAATACCCCGGTGTATAATATCTTTACTCCTACGACTATGCAACAACATACGATGCCTAACACTGAGGGCTACCATATTAATCGGTTCATTTTCGGATCACATATATGCGCTATTGCCAAATGGTGTCCAAGAGAAAGACAATTTGAATAGGCATATTTGGAATGATCATGAAGTCAAGGGTTTGGGCTCCATAGCTGGGAACATAGGTAGCTTGATGGTAAGATTTATACTTTTCTTCGAATATTTGAAATTTCTTTTGATTATATATTTGCCAGAAGGGCCTATCAAAAGCGCTTTTATTCCCTTGAAGAATGAAGCCCGCCAAACACCAAGTAGTGATGGGGAACAGAGGTCTGGGAATAAGATTGATGGGCTTACTACTAGGCAACCAGCTCCAAATTTGCATTTTGAGCTTATTTCAGCCCGCACTCGCTCAGAATGTATGCGGGTGCTCAGGGAATGGTGATCAACCGAGTGGTTTGGATTTCTGCGCATCCCCTTATCCCGGATAGAGGCAAACGTCAGTTATAGTTTGCCTCGCGTTCTACCTGCCTGAGGTGGACTTCTTTCTTTCTTGTTTCGAATATGATTCTGCCATTACGAGCTTCCATCCTCCAAAAGTCTCTACAAACTGCTCAAGCGAAGCATCTCATTCTGCATTTATAAATTGAATATTAATGAATAACTCATCTGATACGAAATACTTCATATGAACGATGGCGGTGTCGTTCGCTGCGCTGCGGTGTCATAGTTGATGGAATCTTCAAGAAGGAATCTATATGTGACGGAATTTTCTTCTAGCTAGGTTATCGGGACCTATATGCTGCTATACATACCCGCTAAGGTACCGTGTAGTGTCCACACCGTACTCTTGAGTTTGATTCGCCCCAAATTCGATGAAAGTCATCAAGGTTTATCATCCTTACCACATCGGAAGAGAACTACGGTTGAGTTGGGCCGATCCTGCCTGGCAGCATAAAATCTGTTGCATGCATGTAACATTGTTGGCAGGTTTTGATCGGGGTACTCATACGAACGATGAATGTGAGGGGAAGTCACGCCAGCAACGACTAATTCAAGCCTGGACCTTATGGAATTAGATCATAGTCGAAGGCTGTCTTGCACATATAGTGGAAAGGGAGATTGAATGAGGTTTACCGTCCGCCAACCCTGAGGATTGTCAACCAACCAAAAAGTCCATATCGTATCGCAGGACCACTATCTAAAACACCGCACTTCCCCTCTAGCTTATGGCCTCGCTTCGCGATGGTCAATATCTCTCTGCCTTTCTTATTATTACAACCGATCAACTAATTCTCTATATATTTATATCTAATACGAACCATATATGTGGTGGTTAACGGATCGGGATTGCCTACTTCATTATTAAGGTCGTCGAGTTTACCCATGCGTTGCAGCTGCCATGCACGTCATGTCCTTTACTCACTGCCAGCATGTCTATAGGCTGGGTCGTGAGTCATGACTATTATATTAGCTTCGAAGCCCTTGCCCATGCTTTCGGTGTATTGGGTTGCTTATATGTACTCGGTTCCCACCCTCGTCCTCTCCTTCCAGCGAGAGAATGAGGCATCGGATTATTGTATTTTTAACCAGAGAATATTGAGCTTCGAGTTCGATTTCCAACTTCAGCACCACTCAAACTCAACGCTGAGCAAGACACACTACATAGATACTGAAAAGCCAAAGATATGTTCCGGTAACAACATGTCGAGAAGCTCAATCCAAGGGGTTGGTTTTGGGGGACCAAGGAACCATCTCCAATTACGATTTCCACCCGGGCTTGGGAACACATCGTGAGTGGGCACTGGGCCAAGATACGTTTCATGTTAAAACTCCATGGTCAAATACACGATCAGGAGGTGCCCGACCTCGACGAACTGGCCTACAGTGATTTCTCGTCCTACGTTCCCACATGCGCTATTGTTAGAATATGGGAGTTATGGGAGTTCCCCTGGCCGGCTGGTCAAGCCACTTAGGCACCCCACTTGGCATTTCTCCACCACAAAGGAGAAATGAGATATGTGTACTCGCGATGAGCCGAATACACGGATATCATCGCATCCCATACTAATTAGTATGGCACATGATGACGGAGGCCCTGGGAAGCCATTCGGATACCATCGGTATTATTTCCTTGAGTCACCTGATTGATCACCTGACCCCATACATTCATTTGCCTATATATGTGAGGCTTTCACCCCATAGTATTAGGATTTTTAATCAATTCAATTACCCCATTCCATGACCCATTCTGACCAATCAATTACCTGTATTAAGTGTACCAATTTGGGTCCCATTAATCAACAGCTATTCTTGATGGACTACTCAAGCTAGCTGCAGATGACTGGCGTGGCAACGTTGAGATAGACTTCAATTGCCCAGCTCCCGACTGACCAACGCTTTCATAGTACGTCGATCTCTTCAACTTCATCTGAAACATCGAGAAGAAAGAATGGCGGGACTGCCTGCCAACAATCAAATTAACAATAACAACAATATCGCAATTCAAAACACTTCTTGGAATGACAGCAGTCTTGCAAATGACACTATATAGCATCTCTCGGATTCTTGCACAGAGGTATCCTTCTCCTTCGCAAGGTTTATTATGAAGTTTGCAAGTTGTCCCTCTACTATATCTACTCTAAGATTAGTTTGTTTGTTTTGATCTCTGTCAACCCCCATATTTGTGGCTGGTGGCCCCCTGGACTCGGAACTCAGTTGTTCCGTCCCGAGCGTTGCGCCATTAGTCCTGCCCCTGTACATTAGGTAACCAGGCACCCTCGGACACTACGAGTTTCACATCAAGGTTCTCTCTGTCCTCCAACTAAAAATTGCTGGCTTCATCAAGCAGTTAATATTAATTTATGGCATTTGGTCTAACATACAAACAGGCACCCATTATTTTCAGATCACCTTGTTGGTATTGGTTTTACAATATAAGCGATTTACCCAGCCCTTGACGGAGTTGGCCACAGCTGCTGGGCAGCCTCACGCGCTCTTGATTGATCTAACGCTGCTCGAGCTAGTTCAAGGAACATCCAGAATAGCGTTACTGATCTGGTTTGCATCAATCATCTACTTGGGTTCGGAGTTGGCTCAGTCATATACTATACAAGTCCCGTGACGCTTTCGGTCATGGGTTTCATGAATCTGCAGTCTCTCTCTTCGGTCGAAGGACTGGTGCCATGGGCCCTGTTACTCGCGATTCCATTATTTGCTACTTGGTGGTGGGTAGATTACCGGTGGAGGATCGCAGATGGCGAGCCTCCACTTGTGCCATATAGAATTCCTTGGTTAGGTCACGGGTTATCGTTTATGAAAGATATCAATGGCTTCACGGAATGGGTCAGGTGAGCTACCTATGCTTTTTCTTAGTAACTATCAAATTATACAATAAAATGCTGATTGAAACCAAGGACAATACACCCCTCAAGCCCAGCAGCCACTGTCCAAATAGCCGGCCAGCATCTATACTTAATCTTCGACAGCAAGCTCGCCAGTCAAATTTACCGGCGCTCGCAAACGTTCATCTTTGATCCATTCTTCCTACAAACCTCGGGTATTCTGGGAGCTTCAAAGAACGATATGGAAATCCTGGAAATGGGCGCTCAAGTTGTGTCTAAAAAGACTAACGCCAAAGATGACGGGAGACGTGTGATTCATGACCTGCACAAAATGACACCCCAATATCTCAGTGGAGATTCGCTAGACAAGCTAACTACGATGTTCATGGATATCCTTAATGATGATATTGATAAGAAATTCCCGGCCGATCAAGAATCTAGCTTTGAGTGGCAGACTCTGGACTTGTGTGAGTATATCAAACAAGTCTGGTCACATGCATCTATCACTGCCCTGTTTGGAACCCATATTTACGAAATTTGGCCTGATATCGATACATGGCTCTGGGAATTCGACAAGCATTTCCAGTCTCTCTTTACTCAGATGCCGAGATTTGTGATTCCAAAGGCGTATGCTTTGTTAGACAGGGGCCAGGAGCTGAGTGAGAAGTGGGAGGCTGACGCGTTGCAAGCCGAGAAGGACGGAAAGATTGAGGGAGATCCTGATTGGGATCCTTATTGGGGACTGCGATTTGTGCGCTTGCGAAATGAACTGCTGAGGAGGGATGGGCTTGAGACCAAGCTCCGCGCTGGGAACCATGTTGTTTTTATTTGGGGAGTAAGACTTCCCTCCATTTCGTCACTTCCCTTCTCCACCAGATGAGATGATGTATGTATACTGACAAGATCCCAGCTAAACGCAAACGCCATCCCCATCGTAATGCAAGTCATGATACAAGCTGTTCTCTCGCCAACTCTTCTTAAGACCCTAGTCACCGAAGTGTCATCCTGCGTTAAAGATCCAACTCTAGGGAATCTCGATATTAGAAAGGTTACCACATCACCACGATTCAAATCAGTATATCTCGAAGCACTCCGCTGGGCAACCGCATCTCCCTCTCCACGTGTTGTCCGGGAAGATGTCCAGCTCGGGCCATACCTTCTCAAAAAAGGTAATATGGCAATCGTCCATTCACGCACGCTCCAAACGGACGAAGAAGCCTGGCTCGTCGAAGGAAAACCCGAATCTCACCCCTCGAAATTCTGGGCCGAGCGATTTCTAGACGACGGAGGTGATGATAAAAGCGAAGCTCTCCGTGTAGAAGAGAACGCCGAAGCGGAAACTAATTATGCCGCCGACGTAATCACACACCCCACTCCAAGGCCCACTCGTCTATCCAAGAATAAAGCCGTGGAGCCTGTTTCAGGGCCGAAATCTAAGGATATGCAGAAACGGATGTTGGCTCTAAGGCCATTTGGTGGCGGCACCACGCTTTGCCCCGGAAGGCATTTTGCTACGAACGAGATTATGGGGGGATTGGCAGCACTGATGTTGAAGTTGGAAATTGAGGTTGATGAGAAGGAACTTGCAAAGAGGGGTGTGCCTGAGCCGGATCTTTCGAAGCAGGGCGGCTTGTTCCCCGATAGGGGCTTGATGGTTAGGATGAGAAGGAGGGAACGATGAACTCTCCTACCATTGGAAATTGAAGGGTTGGAGAGGAGGGATTAATAGTATTTTGCGCCGTATATAATTGTACTTGGATGAGACCCTGATAATGACACCATCTCTAGAGTTATATATTCATACCTTACGAGTTGTATTCCCGCCTCAAGGGTTATCTCGATCATCATCAAGACCTTACCTCCCAATGCCCCAACCACCTACTTTTCACCTCCCGCCCCTCCAATCCCCTAGCCCTGACAAACATCTCCTCCCCGGGCATCAGATCCAAACAGTTATCCTCCCAAACCGCATCCTCCCCATCGTCATACGCGATATATAACACTACCCCCTCCACTGGATAATTCGCTCCCAGCTTGACAAATGTATCCCACTCAGACGCACCATCGCGTAGTTCCTGTACTTCAATATCAACTCTCGTATCCTTTCTCCAAGTCAAATATCGAAATGGTTCCGGCCAATTCACGATCCTAGCCTCCACCTGCCCCGTAATGGGGATCAAGCAAACTAGCACACAGAACAATGAGACTATCTTCTGTCACGCTGCCAGGATTCTCGATTCGCCCTAGCTCTGTATTGCGGTTCGCTCCTAACAGCACCTCTTGATTCTCCTGAGGATAGTCTAAATATTCGCGTGTGAACATGTCATACGCTCTAATCCTCAACACAAATTTCACTTCCTTCACCGTAGAATTGTGCGCAAAGATGTCAAAACTAGGGATGTACGTATCGCGTGGCCTATCATCGTCCACCCAACGTGAGGGGGGAGACCGTTGGATACCAATGCTGTAAGGAAGAAAGCAGCGGCGGATCGTATAGAAGGAGGGCTTGGGACGGAGGAAGTAGTCGATGATGGACCATGAGGTGCACGGGTATACATCATTCAGCTATTTTGGCGGGTTCGATTAGTCTCTTTCTTTCGTCCATGTTCTATTTTTGGATCTAAGATGCAGGTTTAAAAGGGAGAAATGGATGAACCTACCTGCCAGATAATCAATCCTGCGCACTCCTCCATCCCTTTACCTCCAAACAACCTCTTCCAGCCACTCAATGCATACCCAAGTGCTTCACTTTGCATCAGCTGACTCACATATGCAAAAACCTCTAAGTCCATGCTATACCTGAAATTCTCCGCTAGGTACCTTACAATGCGCGTTTCCGAGCCGTGGCCTTTATTATGGCAATCTATGACTTTGGACTGTGGATGGCGGTCGCGTTGGTCTGGAGCGAAGTGGTTGATGGTTCGCATATCGGGAAAGCCATGCATGCCAAACTCGGAGACCAAGCGCCCTGAGAGGGAGGCGTAATCTTGGTAGGATCGTGATTTGCCATGCCATACTATGGGCATATGGGATTAGAAAGAACCAAAGGAGAGGATGAAATATTGAGGAAGAAGAAGGGTGCCCTTACCGTCCCATTGATGGATATCTCCCACTGTTGGATCATTTGCCTTTTCTTTGCCGCCCCAGGGTGAGTTCGGCCAATATTGAATATCAGGACAAAGTTCTTCGACCATCTTTGGGATGATATCAAGATATATCTTCCTTTGAGGAAAATCAGTATCCTCAAATGGTCCTACAGTATCAGTATGATCGTAGTGTTTCCTATCGTGCATTAGCACCGCCCTCTTCGTTTGACCGAACTAAAACCAACTTTTTCATCCACAACCCCGGCAAAGCCTCCCCATCCTCATCCGCCAACATAAAATCTTCATTCCCCCCACAAATCACGGCCAAGCTTGCTCTATTCCTCACCCTCACCGTCTGGGCCCTAACCTCCTTCCGCACATTCTCCAGGAACCCCTCGTGCACGGGGAAATCTCCGCAGGCGAAAGCATAATCATGCCAGACCAGCAAGCCAAGTTCATCACAAGCATCGAAGAAGTCTTCCGATTCGTAGATGCCGCCGCCCCAGACGCGGATCATGTTGAGATTTGCCCGTTTTGCCATGCGGAGGATGGAGAAGTAGCGGGAGCGTGTTAGTCGGGGGAGAAAATTGTCGGCGGGCACCCAGTTTGCGCCTTGGATGAAGGTGGAGTGGTTGTTGATGGAGAATAGAAATGTTGTACCTGGAGCAGAGGCTAGGGGGCGCTGGATTAGAGCTATGGTGCGGATTCCGAATTTGGTGGATTTATTGTCTAGTGTTTGAGAGTTGGTGGTGTTGAGGAGGGTGACATTCGCTGTATATAGGCTTTGAAGGCCGAGGCCGTTGGGCCACCCTGGGTTTGGATTTTGAATTGAGATTTTGCATTCTGAAGTTGATGAATGTCTCATTTCTAGTTGATGTTTGGCAACAATCTTTCCCACGGTATCAACAATTCCGACCTCAAGTCTCATTCCTGATTGCAAAGATGTAGATAGGTTTGTCACAACGCAAATCTCAGCTGAGGCATGATCTTCAGCCAGTGTTGTGGTGACGTGGAGATCTTCAATGCGGACATTATAATGTTCCAAAAATATTGGAAGATAAGGGCCACATGTAACCATATTAGGCCCCCAATCTCAACCCCAGTGATACTTGCACTCCAGTTAGCATCGGCTTCAAACCGGTACGTGAGGAATTACCTACCTGAGCCTTCCGGACATACATCCTCCTCGGATCCCTCATCAAACTCTCTTTAACTCCATGCTTGATTTCCAATTCTGTCCCTTTCTTCAACGCGCTCTCAAACAATATTGTCATTTCATTCTGGAGAGTTTCCCTAGCGGGATTCAAAATATGCTTAACGTCCACCCGCTGGGGTAAAAACATATCCTCATTCTTCAAAATAACGGTTCCATTCAACATCACCGTGGCAAAGGTATCGAGGCCTTCAAATACCATTTCCATAACCTTTGATTCCTCCCTCGAATATTTCATTCCGGGAGTGGGGAATCGACATCGATATTCCCAATCACATTCCCCCACCCATTGCACGAGCCGTTCATTTTCGCCGATGTTGGGATCCGGAATTTTGCTGGTGGTGAGGAGTTCGAGATGGATTACTGAGGGGAAGTGATAGGCTGGTGACCAGCTGGTTAGAGACGAGTCCGCGGGAATGGATTTGCAGCGGTCGGGGTTTGAGAGCTTGCATTCCCAGTTCGAGGATAGGAGGATTTGTGTTTTGGACATGGTTTGGGAATATAACTGGAGCTGAAAATCAAATTGATTGTTTGGGAGGAAGAGATATGCTGCTGCGACTGGAATGAAATGAGGAGTACCGGAGTTGGGATAAGGAAATTTGTTCCGTTAGAAAAAAGAGATCTTGAAGTGAAAACAGCTTTCAAAAGGTAAGCTCAGATGCGAACGCATCCATTCTAGTGATCGGACTTTTGTGTTTCGAGTTGATGTTTACATCTGTTGGAGCTCGATAATTATAACCCAGCTTCTTCATTTGGTTCAAGATGTCGGAACGGCACTCGCCGTTCCCGATTCAATCAATATGCACGTGGTTCTTCACGTTGAACGAGCATGGGGTTGATTGCTTTTTATGTTATTTTTGTTTTATTCCCCCCTTCCCCCCAGATTAGCCTTGCATATTAACAATCCTAAGGTGCTACTGCTATGAGAACCCCTTAGTAAGTCCGAATCCGTCTCCAATCTATTCACCAAACCCTCAATACATGAAGGATAATCCAAGTGCAGCCGTAGATATGAACGGAGAACAGTGCGGTATTATACACGAGAAGCTATTCACTTTTGAAAGATCATTTCACTCATAAAACTCTTGAAGAGCGCGCTTTTTCTCATCTCCTTCGAACGGCAACATCCAGACAACTCAGCACCTGTAATAGTTAGCATGACGCTGCAAAGTATCATTTTATAACATACCTTTTCGGCAATTGCACCTTGGTTGACAAGATGTTTGCTGATGCCCTTGACTAATTCCATTTGCTCTTCTGGGGTAAGTCCCGTGATAGCCGTCTCGATGACGCCTCCAAGAGAGACTTTATGCATGGCAATGAAGCTATGATAGTACATATATGCGAAGAGGCCCATAATGAACTGGCAATCCATGCGGTCGGTGATGCCACCATGGCCGGGAATGGAGTCTCCGAAATCCTTGATCTTGAAAGTTCGCTTGAGGCCAGAGGCAAAGAAGCCGCCAAATGGCGCGATGAGGGAGGCGAAGGTAGCGAACATGAAAATATGGAATTGCATGGGCGCCATTTCGAATGATTTGATAAATGGGAACCATATCGGTAGCTGATACGTGTGGGGCACGAAAACGGGGTTCGGTGTACACTCTAGACCAGTGAAGATATTCGCACCAAGATCCTGACAAAATCAGCACGAGTTGTTAATGAGGGAAGAAGCTGCTTACATTGACGGGGCAAATGAAGTACTTGTACCGCATCAGAATATTGGTCAAGCCGAACCCGAATATAAGCGTAAAAATCCATGCACCAAAGAACCCTTCCACGGTCTTTTTCGGGGACAGCTTTATTAGTTGTGTTTTCCCGAACGTTATACCAACAATGTAGGCGAATATGTCGTTGGAGACAACGAGGCAGACTGGGAGGAAGAACCAGATCATGCCCTCAAACACATTGTTCATAATAAAATGGGCCTGGACAACAATGAGGTATAGGGCCATGTGGGTCCATGCGAATTGCGTAAATTGGAAACGGTAATGCCCTGCTTGTAAGGATGCAACGAAGAACACAAAGCCTGTCACTAGTTAGCACTCTGATATGTTCCGTAATGGACAACGCGGCCTTACCAATGACATACAGCATAAAGCTGAGAAACCGGTGGTGGGTCGCAAATGGCGAAAGCACCTTGTCAACCAACACAATGTGCTTGAAATAATAAATGACGCTCTCGCCGTAGAGGAAGTACATGGTTGTTGCCAAAAAGTACCAATTCAGGGACTTGGTAAACCGTAATCTTCGGGCACGACTGGGCACATTGGCTATCGCAATCACCTCCTTGAAGGATATGATCTGTATGGCGGTAACGATAATGATGATGTAGATGTGTCCCATAAACATGGCCGCGAAAAAACCGCCGATCATAACAAAGGTCCATAGCATTCGTGTCATGAAGGTCTGCTTCTTCTTCTCGTACTCGGAGGGTTGATTTCGAGCCTGGGCGCAACAAGTTAGCAAAACTCCTGAACTCGAAATATGAACCTTGGTTTTCGGACGTACTTCTGCCGCAGAGCCATTCTGCTTTCCTAGCCGCGGAGAGCCTGGTTCTGATGCGGCTTCACTGATGTCTGAGAAGCTGCTCCGCCGGCCGCCGTCTAGGCTCGTACTTGAACCATTCCGGTGATTGAATTTGACTCCGCGCCGGGGTTTCGCCATTGCAACGGTTTTCCAGTTCTCTGTATGCGACCGGGACAAAAGCGTGGGAATCCCTTCGTGTCCAGTGTTGGTGCCGATCACTTGTACTTGGAGGCTTTTGGAAACGGGGAAAGAGCCCAGGCTGCTTACAGTACGAGTACTGCGTATGCGTATATACGAGTACCCCTCAGCGCGCCGGCATCAGGATAGATAGAAGAGACGCGACGGACGGTGAATATGCGCACTTTGAGGACGAAGGCAAGAGAATGGGGGTGACTGAAGGGGAAGAGAAGCGGTTGAGTCTTGCGGACGTGGTTGAGGCCCAATTTGTGCGGCGCAAAGCTTGATAAGTCTTGGCTGGCGCTGGTGTTTCCGCTGACGTATAGGAGTAGCCTTGCCGGTGTTCGAGTCCCAGTTAATAATGCGCTGGACGGAGTACTGCGTGATATCAGGTAGGTATAGGTAAGGTAAGCTACATATAGCCTATAGCCGCCTAGGTGCAATGCAGTTAGCTATACGTGCCTAGGGGCCTCGTTTCTCTGCAAGCGTATGTATGCCAGGCCCTGCCAATTTCTTCGTTGGCTTGTGAAAGTCTCCTGGACTGCTGGTAAGGGCTGCAAACAGAGCAGGAATTTCCCTACCTACCTACTTGAGCTAGATAAACTTTATAAAGCTCGCACTATCTCTAAGTGGCGCTTTCTCCGTGCCTAAAAAGTACGCCGCTGTTATTATTATAATCATAACGGTAATTAATGTTTTTGGTCGCTGGAGAAATACCAGCAACGACTCATCGTTAGGCGGTGGGCAGCGGCAGAATCGCGTCTCCCAAGTGCTCAGTACACAACAACAATAATAATTTCAATAATGCGAACTCTGTCTGCTCACCTATCCAATGCCGGCTTTACATGATGCCGGCTCACAATGGTGGCGACGATTTCTTCTCCGATGATGAGTTGGACAATCTGCCAAACCACTATCTCGACGAGTTGGAGACCAATGCAATTCAGTTCACCCAGGCGCAGACCCAAGCCGGCATCTCGAAGCCCGCGGCCATAAGGGTGCCTCCTTCTTCAGACTACGGCGATGATATTGATGACGAGGACCTTGACGATGCCGTGGTTATTGACGAGTCAAGAAGCACCCCAGCCAGAGCTATTATCCCAGCTCTGCAACGAAATATCCCAGGCCAGTTAGCCCAGAGGCAAGCCTTGCCCCAGCAACGATATGGAACGATCAGCAACCCTCATTCTACCATAACGTACCCACAAAGAAATAATGTCGGCCCCCCACCGCTCTTCAATCTGCCAAATCCGACCACCTCGCGGATTTCTATCCCACAGAATGAGTCAATGGTCGTCGAACAGGGTAGCCAGCCCTCACTCGAGTCGGATAGTGGCGTTGAGGCATTGCAGATCCAGATCCAGGAGGCAAGACCCTGCAACTACCACACACGAAATATACTAACATATTGAAGCTGCTAAAAGAACGAGATGCTTTAAAATCGGGCCTCAATGCAAAGGCGGGCGAGATTGCCATTGTTCGGAGCAAGCAAGAGAAGGCCGCGAAGCAATATGAGCGTGAGATGGCTGCTCTTCGAAAACTCAACGAGGACAAATTAGCGAAACAAGAAAAGGCTCTCGAGGCTGCCCGAATAGCGGAGAAGAATGCTGCAACTGAACGAGAATTCATTAGGCGGGATTTGGCAGAGGAGACCGAAAAAGTCCGAAGGATGAGTAAAATTAAGGAAGCGGAGACAAAAGGAGCTCTTCTGACCACCCCGAAGAAGAAGAAGGCGCTTCCGCACAGGGATGGGTTTGATGACGATGAAATTGAGTTCCTCTCTCCGTCCAAACTCTCCCCTTCAAAATTCCAAAAGAAGGTAGCGGGCTCTCCATCTCGGGTAGGCAGTAAGCGGAGACGGAAGACTGTCGAAAGCCCAATTGCTGCATTGGAAGTGCAGGTGGATGACGAACCTACGGAAAAGCCTGAGGCCAAGAACTTAGTGTTTGATGAATCGATCATAGATAGCTTGAGTAGGCAGGATGATCGATTTGATGTAAGATTAAAGACTCCGAGTATTTCCAAACCGGCAACTGATATACTAGTTCCTTGGAACTATGCTAGACCACCGACTCAATCCCGACCATCTTCGAACGGTGCAAGAGCTGGATAAATATGCGCTGCCGTCCACTCCAAAGGAATCCTTTCAGTCCGTCTTGTTGGGAAAGATACCCGTACTGGGGCTCAAGAAGTCTCAGAAAGCTCTTCCGATCGACTTTTGCGAACTTTTGATATCAATGTGGTCAAGTTGCATGAAGGAGAAATATGTAAAGTCCCCCCTCTGCTTTAATCCAGATATTCTGACAATGGACCCAGCTCGCACCAATCTACCTCCTTATCGATCTGTTGACTTTCGCCTTGGAGCTGAAGACCACTTCGGTTGCTCCTCATATTACGGATTCAATTGTTCCGCTCGCCCAGCTTACTGCAGATCTTGTGGTTATACCGCGCTTCAAGGGACATTCGACAGAGGCCTACGATAAAAGCGTGAACGTATCATCGTGCCTAGCTCTGCTTCACCTTGTGGCGCTTGGATGCATGCCCGAGCAAGAACATATCACCCGATTCTGGAAGTTCATGCGTTACGATTTTGTTCTCGTTATGCTTAGTCCTAACCACCCGACTCCGGATTTTGAGATGATGCTACCCCTACTTTCGACTAGTGTGTTCAGAGACAGTTTTGGTGCCATCACGGTCGAGGGCATACCGGAACTACAAGTCGTCGACAATATTTTGGAAAGGCTCACATATACCCTCTTCGAAATTCCACCCTTGCCGGGAAGTTCGGAGAAAATGGAACTGGGTGCCCTATCCAAACTTCGCCTTAATGTTTTACAGCTCATGACCAGTATGACTCGATCATCTTTCGCAAGTCGGGCCATGGCAATGCATCCCCTTACGATAGGTAGGCTTGTTAGCCTCATCAGCGACGAGCTGGATGATTTGTACGACTACAAAGCTCGTCACGAGGAAAGGTATTTCCCATCATGTCCTCATCCGCCATATCAAACACTAACAGCCCACCAGTGCCCGAATTATCAGTCTAGCAACACGATTATTATATCACATCGTCACAAGATTCGGCGACGATATCGACATACAAAAGAAACTCGCCGTAATCCGCGGTGGTTCGCAGAAATACCTCCTATCTCTTTCCCGGTTGAATTTCACGGAGGATGACCTGTTGCTGGAATCGGGGATTGATCCAGATGTCGCGGCTTATGCGTTAGAGATGCTTGAGCGCGTCGTTACGCCTGAGGAAGGAGATGCCATACATTCGGCATTCTCAACTTCTTAAAATATATATGATGCACTGTGGATATATGGGGTGCTCGGGGTGGCGTTAAATTGGGCATTGCCGGAGTTTGGATTCGGAAGCATTGCATGTGTGGCGGTACGGTTTTTTGTTATCAGTATAGGCATAGTATGATAATTTGAATCTTTCGATTCTAATCCCGCATTTTCTTGATGATAAGACATAACGAGTGGGTGAGAGCTCTATTCCTCTTAGTGAATCCTTGCCCCACATCTAGATGACAAGACAAAGCAGAAGGCACCGCACCAGACTACTTCATAATATGTCTAGAATATATGTCTAAAGAGAAAAAAAACCAAACAGCAGATATTCGCTGGTGGTTACTCGAGTCGTTTTCGCACCGTTACTCTATATACTCTATATACTCTTTATTAGTATATATATCCCGCTATAGGGATATATAGCTTTAAAAGGAGATCTTATAAAGGTACTTTATAGGGGTGCGCTATAGTAGGTGTTTGGCCTAAGCTACAAGGTAGAAAGGCCTACAGAGTACTCTGTAGGGCGAGCGCCGGGTGACCGTACCGCCGAGTCAGGCAGCTGCAGCTCCCCAGGCCTAAGCCACCGTGTCCCGAGGCCTAAGCTACCGTGTACCGAGGCCTAAGTTACCGTGTACCGAGGCCTATAGCAGGCCCTATAGTAATATGCTGTAGTTAGTTTCAGGACTACTAAGACCTGAAGGGAGGCCTGAAGGGAGACCTGAATGAACCCCCTACAGTAAGTAAGGGCCTGAAGGCCTGGAGAGAAGGGCTGGGTAGAAGGCGTAGCCCCTATCCTACTTTGAGTACCCACGCCGCTGAGCGAGATAGCTAGGCTGGAAAGGGCGATGGGCGACTACTAATAGCTTCACTTTGCGACCGAATAGAATAGGATTAAATAATGATAGTACCCTATACGTAGGCTATCTAGATTGTATAGAAAGTAGTATGGGAGGGCGATGCCGTAATCATATCTAGGTAATGACCGTCATGCCTACGAGTAACAATATAGGCAGAAACAGTTTAGCACCAAATCCTTCTAATAATTCGCTATAATCGAAGCTCGGATGACCGGTCATATGAGCATAGCCTAGAGCCAAGCGCTGTAATTAAGCGCTTGCGTAATAACAATAATTAACTTAAATCAGAGGCTTCCTCAGGAATCTCTCTCTTTCCTTATAGATAGCTATTTTATCTATTCTGTACTATGCTTCAACAAGGATCTCGTGTAACTGATGTCCGTTTGTCTTTTGCGGGGATATCTTATTCTTCTTACCAGCCTCAGTAGCCATGTGCGCTCTCCAACCACCTGATGCTGTGATATCCATTGCATCATCTAGTCCCCATGGTTCGCAAACAAACCCTTTTACCCAACTACCATCGGACATCTCCACAGATCCTATGGCCAGAGGTGGTGGAATAAAGGCCATGAATTTCCCAAGGGTTTCGCTGGGTATGTCCCAAATCTCCACGTCGATAGAAGAGCCGAGCATCGTCGACCCGCCGGCGATTCTCTTCAGGCCCGGTTTCCTGATAGCATGCGCAGGGCTGGAAAGTTCATAAAGACGATACAAGGGGGAAGTTTTGGCTGTGCGATTGAACGTTGCACCGGAATCCTTTAGCTGGTAGTTCAGAGGAAATCCAGACAAGTGAGCACCAACAATTACTAGTTGCGAGGTGCTAGGTGAGGTTTCAGTTTCCACGAGGCTGGACATGGGCAAATCTTGGGATTTGCAGTTTGTGGCCCCGAGTTTTCGTGGCATTGAAGCAGAAAACTGAGCGCCGAGTTGGCACAGCTTTTCCTCTTGCCATCGAGTCGAGATAATCGTAAGTCCAAATGGCAGGCCGTCTGACCTCAAACCCGCTGGAACGGAGATTGCGGACCAGTCAAGGAGGTTTACAAAATTGGTGAAGGTTCCCAACCTTGAATTTTCTAGAAGCGGCTCCTGGTGAACCTGTTCAATCGTGGGAAATGTCGGTGTTGTCGGCACTAAGATGGCGTCATAATGTTGGAACTGGTTCTCCACTGCAAGGGCTAGATCTCTCCGGGAATATTCAGCAGTAAAAAAGTCAACCGCGCTGAATTTGGAGGCATCTTTGATTATACCACGGACGGTCGGGTCGATTCCGGCATCGGGCCTTTGGATGAAGGTTTTGATGGCAGCAAGGCGCTCCGCAACCCATGGACCTTCGTAGAGAAAGCTCGACAGTTTGAAGAGAAGGGAAAAGTCATTGGGTTGGATATCCCAGCCCAGGGCAGTTGCTCCCTCGAGAGCCTGGTGATAGGAATCGTGGTGTTGTCTATCTCCACCGAACCAAGGCGGGCTGTCACAGATTGCAATCCTTGGACGGCTGGGAATTGACATTGGTGGGTTTCTGATAACCGGCCTCGAAAAGCTATCGTCTGGATCATACTTGGCTGCTATATCAAAGACCAACTTCGCATCTTCCACCACCAATGCAAAAATGGATACACAGTCAAGGGTTCGGCAAGCAGGCACAACACCTGTCGTACTAAGTGCACCACGGGTAGGTTTCAAGCCCACGATATTGTTGAAACCCGCAGGCACCCTCCCTGACCCGGCAGTATCGGTACCAAGAGAGAATGGCACGAGTCCGCGTGCGACCACTGATGCTGAGCCAGAGCTTGAGCCGCCAGAAACGTATTTGTCGTTGAAGGTGTTTGGAACGGCACCATAGGGAGATCGAACCCCAACCAGCCCTGTGGCGAAGGCATCGAGATTGGTTTTTCCCATAAGGACGGCTCCCGCTGCCTTGATTATCCGGACGACAGAGGCATCCTCCGCGGGGCTATACGAGAAATCTGGACACGCGGCGGTAGTGGCCAGCCCGGTAGCATCGATGTTGTCCTTGACCGCAAATGGAACTCCAAATAGAGGGAGGGCGTGACCTTTAGCTTGTAACTGCAGGACTCGATGCCATTGCTGGCGGATATGGTCGGCCGAAGACAGCGATATCCATGCTGGATCTGCTGGGTCTAGAGACTCGTGGACACTCAGCAGCCGGGAAAGGGGATCGCCGGTTTTCTGGGCGAGCTTCCAGTCGAGTATTGTAAGCGGGTGACTCGCCGGGGCATATTCTGTGGTCATGAATAAACAATATCAGCAGCAGGAAGAGAGAGGACGTCGTGTCGCAATGTATAAAGAGATTATAGCAAGAGGGCTTACCGCACTGTATTAATGTCATGGCAGTATTTTGGTTTTAGAATCGCTCGTCCTATGTAGAAGGCCCAGAAATATATTTTTAATGTTGTGGGCAGTTGATCAAGAATTTATTACTGTAGTCGAATAAGTCACATATCCACACTAGGCTGTATTAACGTTGGTGGCAGGAAAAACTACCTAGGAATGTTGTGAATGTAATCGAACAGATATGGCCGGCGGCCAGGGCGCCGTCGGCATTGGTGCCGCCGGCTATCATCAGGGTTATCTTAGGTTATTAGTTGCAAGTACAATATAGTATTAGAGAAGTACGTTAGCCGATTAAGCACCGAGGAATGATTGATTCATGCTTGAGCCTAATCCGAGTTCACATATAGTGGATTTCTATACAATACTTACTGTACATACAATACATGTAGTAACGATACAAGATGGTCCCTCTCTCGTCGGGCTCGGTTAACTCCTTTGTCAAATTGCTTAGGGTTATGCAATGTGATTGTACGTGGCAGGACAGCCCCCTTTTGCTGTATATATTAGTGGGAGGCTCACTGAGTTCAATACACACACACATCGATTCCTTGGTGTTTAACCCTATCGATTATATTGCTGCGTATCGTTCCACCACTTGCGATTGACGCCCCTATCCTGGACACATTAGCTAAGCAATTTTCCCACGTGGCTAACAGGGTTCTAGTTCAGGAGGCATGGATCTAGCATTAGTAATACGTCTTAGTAATACCTCTTATGCTCGATTGAGCTTCTTCTGCCGCCGCCACTCTTTATAAAGGCGGTGAGGCAAGAACGACGATAGTCTCTATCGATAATAGCGGTAACTTTATAACGACCACCTGCCTATCTCTCCACGATGCATGAGAATAATGGCATCGCTCCACCCGCCAGCTAGACGAAAGAGTAGGCCCTGTGATGCATGTGTAAGTTACCCCAGGCCCAACCCGAGACTACGGTACAGCAGCGCTGATTTGGCGCAGAGGAAGCGAAAGAGCCGATGTGTGCTGGAAGATGACTCCACCATCTGTGTCTTGTGCAGGTTTCACAGCCAGGAATGCACCTTTCTAGAGGATCCCCATTCGCGAAAACGCAAACTCACCCAACATGGAGACGATACCTCCTCTAGACGGTTTGCCTTGACACCCCACCCTCCAACCACGTGCTCGCAGCTGACAGCGGACCTAGGCGCTCCGTTTCCTCTGGACGAGTTGAGAGGTCTCCAGAGACGCAAACTCGCATCATTCAGACCACCAGTGGGACTGGAGTGGAAGAATATGACGACATGGAAGGACCGAGTCTTCTGAAAAGGACACTAGGTTTGCAGAATAAGTACCACAGTCAATACGTCGGGGCAACAAGAGGAATCGAACCATCCCTCCTAGGCCCGCTCGAGATTGGTAAGAATCATGTGGTGCACCTGACTGATGGACGTACCCTACGAAGAGTCAGCTCGGCCAACGCATTCTTGCTGCTCCCAGATAACGGGACACAAGGCTACGCTGATGAACTCGAAGACGTGGATGCTATTGAGGCAATTGTAAAACCCCACGGCCATGCATTGGTGGCCATGTATTTCCGCATCGTGTTTCCGAGCTTTCCAGTACTCCACAAGGAGGTCTACCTCGAGAAATACAACCGCTCATATCGAGAATTCGCCCCGCCGCTCCTGGCGAGTGTGTATCTTCTCGCACTTCATTACTGGTCGTACGACGAGGAGCTTAGTAAGTCAGCCAAACCAGATATGATAAGGCTCGAAAGGATCACCCGAAAGGCCCTCCAGGATGCCATGCATCGACCGAAGGTTTCGACAGTTCAAGCCGGCCTTTTGTTGCTGCAGCATACCGATACGGACTCGGCAGAGCTGACTGCGCAGCTCGTCAGTGTTGGGCACGGATTAGGTCTGCACTTGGATGCCTCGGATTGGAACATTCCCGAATGGGAAAAGGGATTGCGGAAAAGGCTGGGCTGGGCCCTGTTCATGCAGGACAAATGGAGCAGCCTCGGGAGCGGCCGAGTACCCCTGGTCCACTCGGCAAACTGGGCACTCCAGCCGGTGACGATGGCAGATTTTCCCGAGAACGCGTCTCATGAGGACAGCCAGGAAGGGAGCTCGGAGGTTGAAAGGGGTCGAATCCTGTTCACCTACATGGTTACTTTGTCGGTAATACTAGCTGATCTCCTCGAATCCGTATTTACACTCCAGGCGACTCGGGAGATTGCTGCTGCCGGGTCGAGCGGTCTTTCGATTCTCCTGGAGAAGGTAAAGCCGGTACAGCTAAGGTGAGCGGTCTTGATTCTTATATGTTACTATAGCGCGCCCGTGACTGACATTTACTGTCAGGCTGAAGGAGTGGTTCTCCAACCTCCCTGATTGCCTATCTATGGAAGCTACAGAGGTAATGAAGCTCAACTCGGTTGGATATTTAAGGCTAGCCTATGTAGCCACCGAGATCACCCTTCACCGCCGCATTATTCTTGCGCTCGGCCCTTCTACAAACCCACAACTCTTCCAGATATGCCGCTCCGTCGCCCACGAGCGTTTCATGTTTGCCATGGACTTCCTCCAATCCCTCAAGCCACAACACCTGTCAAGCTTCTGGTACTTTGCATCACCTCAAAACTTTGCTCTTATCGCCGTCTTTGGTACCCTCCTGCTATCCACGGCTACAAGCCCTGGGGAGGCAGACTTTTACCGGACGAAGCTGAGGGAATATAGGTGGATACTGAAGATCAACACCGAAAATGGGGCGCGATATATGAAGCCCGCGATGGCTTTACTCGATGCCAATATGTTACTTTTAGAGGCCAAAGTAGCTAGACCGGCCGAAGAAGTTTAGCTAGAGACTTCAAACTCGCCATGGGCAGTTTTCATTTGACACTCCGCACGCAATACACCACAGGCCGACATTCAGAGAGCAGCGCCTCCCCCCCTACTTACTTAGGTGTTAGTAGCACCGAGACACAACCCGAGATCCTAGGCTACAGACTCAGAAACGATAACGATTTGTGGTACTAATGATGCCCACCCTATCCGAGTTCTTAAAACTGGTTTGAGTATTATCTTAGATGGTTGATTGATGGAAGCTAAGGGACGCTATGCCGTTCATTAACGGTGCGATTTGTAAACTTTTTGACCTCTGGTCGAAATAATTAAAGTTCTAATCTGTCCTAAATAGCATGTGCCTACCGCGTTAAATATTTCAGAAACCGGGGGATGGATCATATCAGCGCCCTTCATTCTTTCTTGATAGCATCTTCCAAGACCGCAGCGAGATCGAGGATCTTGCCATCGTACCCGCTCCCGCCCAGAAACGTGACTCCAAAGGGTAACTTCTTGCCCTCCTCTGCTGCTCCGCCCTCGACCCATCCAGCGTTGACACTGACGCCACACAGATCCAGCACGTTGCCCGCGTGTGCGAACACGCCCAGCTTGGAATTCAGACCGATGGGGTCTGCTCGGATCTCCGCGATGGTGGGATGGCACGGCGCGCTCGGCACGACCAAGACGTCGACCCCGCCTTCGAGGGTGTTGAAAACCTTGCGTGCCTGCGCGATATACTGTGTTTGCAACGCCTGATCCCGGAACACCTGCCAGGCTTTTAGATCCGAATCGAGTGTTGACCGATAGATGGATTTGGTAACCGGGTGGAAGGAGTCGACGTTTTTCACGATGAATTCGTGGCCGATGGAAGCCAGGCGCTCGTGAACCAGGGACGCGTTGTAGAGGAGGTCGCAGGCCTTGGCGAACGGGGAGTAATCGATCTCGACCAGCCGGCCACCGCATGATACCAGCGTCTGTATCGAAGCCTGGAACAGTTCTTGGTATGCTTCGGAGCAGGTCTCCTCCAGCAGGGAAGCCGGAGGCACGCCGAATGTGAAGCCCCCTTCCCTCGGCCCACGGAAATCCGTCTTCCAGGTCGCGAGGCTGCTCGGTAGTTTGGCATATGGATCTAGGGAATCGTGCTGATCCATGATGTACCAGGCGGCGCGAGCATCTGCCAGGGAGGGCGCAATGACTGTAACACAATCGAGGCTCTTGCACGCAGGTACCAATCCCCGGGCCGAGATGGTTCCCTTGGTGGGTTTGAAGCCAACGATGCCGTTGAAAGCGGCGGGGATGCGGGTGCTGCCCGCGGTATCGGTCGAGACGGCGAACGAGACCAGGCCCGCTACAACGGCGACGGCTGATCCAGATGATGAGCCGCCCGATATGTGATCTTGGCTGTAGAAGCTGTGCGGGGTGCCATAGGGTGAACGGCATCCCGTGAGACCCGTGGCCAGCTGGTCCAGGTTGACCTTGCCAATGTACAAAGCACCGGCGTCAAGCAGGTGTTGAACGGCCGGGGCAGTAGAATCCGCCGTGTACGCAAAGCTCTCGCAGGCCAGCGTGGTGACGCAGCCTCCCACGTCGATGCTATCCTTGACGGCGAACGGCACTCCAAAGAGTGGAGGGAGCGGCTTCCCCGCGTACTTAGCAGAGAGTGCTCCGGCTGCAGCAAGCACGTCGTCCCGGGACTGTTTGGAGATCCAGACAGCCGGGTCGATGGCTTCGTACTTCTCTATACGATCAAAGACAGCGTTGACAATCACCTGGGGATCTGCAAGGCTGCTCTTGTACTGCCGTTGGAGCGCGGCAATTGATGGCAGCGTACTCGTATCATGGTCCTTTGAAGCCGCCGGCGGAGCAGCCACAGCCGTCCCTGCGAGCCTGTCTGCCTGCGCAAAGAAGTCGGAGCTGTGCCCGATATAGCCAAACAGGCCATCCTGGCTGCATATCATATCCAGCGACGTGGTAACCTGCTGCTGATCGAAGCCGCCAGTGCAGTCCGATAGAATGCAGCATTCGTACCCTCGATCATTGCATTCTCGCAAAGTCGTAGTGACACAGCACCTTTTTTCTCCGTTAGCCATGCCATGCACCACGCAACAGCCGCCTGTCTAACAAGGAATATAGTATATACTGACTCTGTTGTCACACCCGCGAAAATCAGATGCGTAATGCCTCGAGCGAGTAATATCCTATGCAGTCCGGTCCCCCAGTAGCTCCCCTTGCCCGGCTTGTCGACGATCGGCTCTCCCGGGACCGGCCTGAGCTCGTCAATGATATCGTGGCCGAACTCTCCTCTCACCAGCAGTCTTCCCATGGGGCCCTGATCGCCGATGCCCATCGTATGGTGGCCACTCGGCGCACTGATCTGCCGCAGCCGCTTTGCCGCGGGCAGGTCGGAGAGGTCCGGTCGATGGCCCTCCCTCGTATGAATAACATGCATCCCCATCTCGCGGGACACCTCCAGGACTCGCTGCACGGTCGGGACAATGCTGCGGACGGACGAGAAGATGTCGGGGTTCCCGCACTGGACCGAACCAAACCCGCCCGGGTCGACAAAGTCCCGTTGCATGTCGATGATGAGAAATGCCGTGGTTTCGGGGGGGAAGTTGAAGGCATAGGGCCGGGCATTTGGCAGGGACATGTTGGTTATTGGGGCCATGTTTGTGTTGTGTTGTATTGTTTCGTAGGATGAGATGAAATGGAATAAGAAAGGAAAGAAGAAAGAAAGAAAGAAGGAACAGAAAAGATTCTTATGAGCCTCAACGAAACGAGAGCAGCAACCCCATCATCGCCATGAATAATAGCCAGCCTCCTTCTCCGATACCTCCCGCGTTTATTGTAGATATATTATTCAAGAAATAATCTTCGATCAGCACCAGCGACCCCGCGGCGCGTCGGCGCGCTGAGGACATGGAAAGATACGGCGATAAGCTTAGCTTATCCAGATGCATTCCGGCGCCTATTTACCTACGGGTCTACTTATCTTGGGCTAGTAACTTACCTTAGGTAAGGCACCTTATCAATTAACCGTGCAAGATTACGGTAAGACGTTTACATAAGAGTGTTATCCTTGCAATTCCTACTAGTACGTACATACACTAGGCTGCCAGACGTGGGGATAAGCAGTAGCACGTGATCCTACCCAAATTCAGGGGAATAAGGTAGGCTAGATTCAAAATCCGAGTTCGTAGCAACTGTCGAGAAGAATTTCTTGAGCTGGAGATAAATCCGAAATATTGGATTAAATATAATAAACACTATCCTAGTCATTTACTCATAAATAACTATATAACTATATATGCACCTACTCGCCGTCAACCACCTCATATGGATAGATCCGTCTATAAAACAACCAGCCCAATTCTGGATTCCCGACTCCTCGGCGCCTTTAATATGATTATATACTCACACGCAGATAATATCCTCCAGTACCTTGGCCGCAGCAACGGTTGCTTCGTCACAGAATCGATTGCCTACCAGCTGGAGAGCAATCGGAGCATCCACGAATTTCTCCGGCGAATACGACTTGTACTCGGCCTCGTCCTGCGCGCCGCGCGGCTGGTACCCGGCCTCAACCGCATCCAGCTCCTGATCGACGCGGAGACCGGTTGGGAACACGACGCCCGGCATGTCCAGGATGTTCCAGATGGCCGTGTAGGCCGAGTACCGGGCCTCGTGCGGCTCCGCGGCGACGCCTACGTACGCGGGGCAGAGGATCACGTCGATGCCGCGCTCCTTCATCAGCATCCGGTGCTCGGTGCGGTACGCCTCGCGTTCGAGGTTCACTGCCCACGTCTCGGGGATGGTCATGTTGCGCGCGAGGGTGAAGGCCTCCTTGGTGAGGGGGAGCCAGGGCTCCCCCGACTCCTCGAGAGCCGCGATTTGGGTCGCGGCGCCGTCCGGGTAGAACAGGTCGTTGATGATGCGCATGCCATGCTGATGCTTGTACGGCTCCCAGTCCACCGTCCGGATCCCGGCCGCCCTGAGCTTCTCCACGGCGCTCCTCATCGCGCGCTGCATCGGCGGGTGTGGATGAACGATGCCGTCATCCCAGAGCACGCCGACGGTGAAATCCCCCGGTGACGGCCGGGGCTCCTCGTGCCATGGCAGTGGCACCAGGGCCGTCTCCTCCTCCCACGGCTTCCCGTCCGTGACGGCCTTCATAAACAGATCCAGGTCGCGCAGGGAATTGGTGATCGGGCCCAGGGTGCAGCGGATAGCCTCCTGTCCTTCGCCCGCGAGCGCGATCCCGCTCCACGGGGTCCGGAGGGTCGTGGGCCGTATGCCGTAGCTGCCGCAGAAGGCGGCCGGGAGGCGGATAGAGCCGCCAATGTCACTTGCGATCCCGATGGCGGCGCCACGGAAGCCAACCGCAGCGGCCTCCCCTCCCGAGGATCCGCCAGGGGAGAGGCGGATATTGTGAGGGTTGAGTGTGCGGCCCGTGATGTTGTTGTCACAATCCAGATGCTTGAGACGGTTAGGTTAGCATATCTCGAGATCATGATCGGGAAATCACACATACCATACATGTCTGCGGCAAATTCGTCCGCACGTGAAATACCGCCCCCGCCTTCCGCAACACCCGGACAATCAAGGCGTCCTGCGATGCCACATTCGACACCCGGGAGACGTAGCTCGTGTGCACGATGCGGCCCTCAAACGACACCATCTCCTTAGCGGAAATGGGGACGCCGTGCAAGGGACCGACCAGCGTGCCCGTGCTCCGGAAGTGGTCATCGAGCGCGCGGGCCTGGGCGAGGGCTTCTTCGGCCATGAACTCGGTGGCAAAGTTGAGCAGCTGATGCCCGAGAGTCGCCCTCTTTAAGAATGCCACCGCGACCTCCTCGGCGGTCCAGGTCCCCGCTGCCATGGAAGCCACCAGGCCCGTCGCATCGGTCTCGGTGATCTCGAGCTCTCTCGCGGTCAGCGTGCCTGACTCCTGGGGGACGCCGAGCACGTTGGTGCGCTCCGGCGGGGGCAGGCGGTCGGCGGGGAGGAGCCATTGCTTCTGGATGGATTGATCGAGGATGTCTCTGCAAATCTGTGCCTGGGCTTGCCAGTCCGGAGTCGTCATGCTGAGATGGAAGAGGCCGCGTCTTAGAGGCCGCGTCGTAGAGATCAGATCAGAGTTGAGAGGGAGGAATCTTAATGAAGAGAGAAATAATTTGGCATATTGTTATATCAACTCGGCCTTTATCTAATACAAAAATACGGCACTTGTTTGTACAGTCTATAGCCTTGTTAGTACGAAGTATATGCAGGGACCTTGGTAGCACTCGATGTGTATATCTGATAAGGTAATACTGTACTGTACTGTACCCCAGCTTCTTAGCCCAGCCGGCGGCGTCGCCGCGCCGAAGGCCCATCGGCGAACCTGCCAGACCTGAAGGCGAGATAAGAGGATACTGTAGCTCGGGAAAAAGAGGGATGTAATGAGAAGAAGTAAAACTACGGGGTGCGATAATCGCAAAGCCACTAGCCATTTTAGCTTAGCGAGCGATAGTTGCTACCGAGGTTTACCCGACCCGGATACTACCGAAAGGTCCCCTAATCGTTCTACAGTACGTACTGTATACGCCGTCCCTTTACGTGAAGCATCTACTTCGCAGTCTCGCTACCCCTATCTCCCACAACCTCTCCACCGCTAATACAGTATCTCAGCCCCTATCGTATCTCTCCAACAGCCCCCACTTGTCATGTGTATACAGTATCATTCGCTTCGTATCTTATCGGGGTACTTTCCCTAGATCTTGGATCTCACCACGCATCGCAGTACATTGTCGTTGATAGCTATCCATCATGGCTACCATATTTATACCTCCGTACGATCCTCGTTTCCGGCATCTCAATATCTATTTCAATATCATCTTCCTCGGTTGAGACCGTCGCCCTCACCCGCACACCATGGCCTTTGCAACCGCAACGTCCAACGCCACCTCGTTCCTGCGCCGGCGGACGGAACGCATCAATGAGCATGCCATGCAGAAGAAGTCGCTCTCGGGCTGGGTGCTCCCCAAACAGCCCTCGACATTCGCCGATGAGGGCAGCTGGTCCAACGCCGACTCCGATGTGACCCCTCTGGACCGCCGCACTTGGTCCACATGGACTATCCTGGGTTTCTGGTTCAGCGACGGCCTCAATGCCCAGGGTTGGATGGGCGCCGCCTCGATTATCGCCGTCGGGCTCACATGGTCAGTACAGCTAAATCATGCTTCTCCTTGATCCGGTTTCCCATGCTTACGCCCTGTATACAGGAGGGAGGCGCTTTACTGTCTCATCCTCGGATACACCATGGTCATCATCCCCCTGGTGCTCAACGGAGCCCTGGGCGCCCATCTCCACGTCAACTTCGCTGTGGCTTCACGTGCTTCGTTTGGCTTCTACCTCTCGCGGGTGGCAGTCGTGATCAGGATGATTACGGCACTATTCTGGCATGGTATGTCAAGTCTGGCCTCGTACTATTGATCCCCCCCGCTTACACCCCCATCAAGCCATCCAGACCTACACTGGGTCGACTGCGATGACGCAGATCATCCGTTCTATCTGGCCCTCGTACCTCAATATCGCTAACACGATCCCTGAATCGGTCGGTATCACAACGCACCAGATGTGCTCTCACGTTCTCTTCTGGAGTCTTCAGTTCCCCTTCCTCCTTATCCCGCCCCACAAGCTCCGCTGGTTCTTCGTGTTTAAGGCGGTGGTCGTGGTAGTGACTTCGGTCGCAGTCGTCATCGCCCTATGCATCCAAGCGGGAGGTGCGGGTGACATCTGGGATCAGGAGGCCACCGTCTCAGGGTCGACAAGAAACTGGTTGATCCTATCGTCCATGTCGAGCATAACCGGTTCATGGTGCGTATAAGCCTCCCTACACATTCACCTCCACAGACCTCTTGGCTGAGCACCTAAGCTAATAACCGTTCTTGTAAATAGGATGACGATGGGGACCAACATTCCCGACTTCACCCGCTACCTAAAGAAATCTCGTGGGGTCTACTGGCAAGCGCTCTTCATGCCTTTCATTGCATCTTTGATCGGCATCTTCGGCATCATTGCGGCTAGCGCGGGGAAGATTCTGTATGGTACCTATATATGGGATCCCGTTGAACTTGCCTCTCATTGGGACGGTCCTAGTGGTCGTTGTGGGGCGTTCTTCGTTGGCCTCTGCTGGGTCGTAGCACAGATTGGAACCAACGTTTCCGCAAATGTCATTTCCTGCTCGAACGACATGGTGAGTGCACCGCCTCCTATCCAATACCTATCTCAGCTAATCATGCATAGGCAACCCTCTTCCCTAAATATATCAGTATCCGCCGCGGTGCCATCATTACCACCCTTATCGGAGGCTGGGTCATGGTTCCCTGGAAGATCATCTCGTCGGCCGCTTCCCTCCTGACATTCATGTCGGCGCTTGCCATCTTTCTGGCTCCCATCGCCGCCATCATGGGTGCCGACTACTGGGTGGTTAAGAAGCGCAACATCGACATCCCGTCCCTGTACCGCCGCCGAGGCCGTTACCGGTACCACGGGGGAGTCAACTGGCGCGCCGCTGCCGCCCTCATCATTTCTATCTCACCCAATCTTCCGGGCATGGTGCACGCCGTGAATCCAAGCCTCCCAGTCGGCGGCATCCAGTACGTCTACGATGTAAACATCTTGTGGGGATTCACCAGCGCGTTTGTCATCTACTGTGTACTCAGCCGTTTCTGGCCTGCAACCGAGACCCTAATCGAGACCACTATCCGCGATGAGGTCACCATTGTGAACGGCGTGGAGGTTTACAACGATGGGCTGGCGACGCCGACGGAGAAGGAAAGTGGCCTGGAGGAGACAGGCTTATCCGTGAAATATGCGTCTGTCTAACTTTCCTAAAGTTATCTATCTATATATAGCGTATTTTTAATAAATCAATAAATAATCAGCTTGTCTAGCACACCTATGATGGTTATACTTCCTAGTCTGGGTCAATATATTCCAGCCGAGTTTAACTAGACGTCTACTAAGCCGTAGACAAATAAAAGCCTGAGATATATTCGAAAAGTATCTTACAGTATCCGACGCCCCATCTTTACTTGTGTCCCGCAGATGTCAGCGACTTAGAGGGTAATTATATCCCATGTTACTATATTAAGGAAGCAGCCAACAATCATCACTGAATAGCTGCACTGCAACTTATAACAATGCATCTTAGCAACATCATGGCTGCGGTGTCTGTCTTTATTAGTCCATTGCGCATGTTGAGACTGCCTTGACCCGGTGGTGACTCAAGCCGGCTAAGGCCGAGAAGGCTGCCAGGTATACATACGTACCTTAGTTGTGAGCACGAGGATAAGTTAAGTTTTCACACTTCCTCACCCTATTATATTTAGGAAGAAGTAAGTTAGTTTAGAAAACAAAATATTTATGTGATGGCGTAGTATTAGCATTAATTCCACGGTTTCTCCTGCCCAATTTTTCCTACCCTTACTAACCTCCGAACGGAGATAAAACGATGAGAGAGGAAAAATACCGCCGCGTAGAAGTGGGCAAGTATAATGGGACTACTATTCTTAATGTTGTGGACCTTGCCTCAAATGGTGTGTAAAAGGGCTTGACATTGTGAAGCGAGATGTACCCGACGATAACAATTAGATGATGAATTAGGTCTGGTAGTGATGATAACTTAGGACTAGTGGACAATATAATTGGTTGTAAACGCCCTTGGATGAATGAATTAATACAGTCTATTACGCGTGTGGGGATATAATCACACCAGGTGGGTCACCCCCAAAGCACCTGGCTACAGACCTATTATATAACTGCCTGAGTACTCTAACGACTCGCATATATTCGTATTTATCCTCCGCTATTTTCTAACGTAATTCGCATGGGCCGTTAATGTCTCGAATGTAAACTTCATACTCTATTCTCAATCCGTATCAAGATTCTAGGGATTAGAATGGCAAACTTTGCCGACCGACTACAGCGGTATGTATCTAGAACCTCTAGAACAGCGCATAGATGGCCTCGAGAAAAGTGTCAGCAAAATCGAGGATATTCTCAGCAAAACCCTCAGACGCCCCCCATCGCCTTCAGCTAACGAAGAAATCGCTATACCAGCGTTTAAGAGGCCCTCGTTTGAGGCCAGGGCGGGCCGCTACGAATACCGACCACTAGACTCGGCTGTCACCGAAATCAGGATCCTCGTCGTGTACAGCAGCTCGGATGATCAAGATCCGATCAATTGTGAGCTACTACGTGCAAGTCTTAACAGCAACTCTTTGAAGGATCCCGCAAGCCGATCGTCTGTAGCGATTACATAGTTCAAGACACCTCTTAAACATGGGGCAATCCTGATAACAGTCGCTCCATTATAATCGATGGCCATCAGTTTCCAGTAACTCAAAATTCAAAATATCTGGGCCGCCTTAAGACACACATGAACCCTTCAAAATATCTCCCAAGCTGACGGAGAGCTTCGCCCGACCTTCTGGTGGATTGATGCAATTTGTTGATAAGTCGATTGATACCGAATAAAACAACTCGGAAACTTGAGGGCTTGACCTCTGTTTTCTGAGAGGTTTCGTTTTACCCTAATTGAATTAACTATCTTCCGCCCTCACGTCACCTTGCCTATTCTTTTTCCACTCAAAACCCGAGACAAATTCCAATTAATATATGGCGTATGTCTGAGATCTTATTCTTTTAGCACAACTCAACTGAAGTTCAACGCCTCTAGCTCTGCGGTTGTAATATTCCGTATTATCCGTTCGGCTGCCATCAGGGGTAATGCAAGGAACATCAAAACTTCCTCCCTGCCTTATATGAATTTGCTAAGCCTTTATAAAATTCCAAACAGATTGCTAATATTTTCAATTTAGAAGCTTAGTTGTTTTTCAATGAGAGGATTTGGCATTGTCGTAATTGTTTCGCGCTTTATTTAGAAATTAAAATGGCTTGATAATTGGCCGGCGAGGCGTAATCCTAGTGGCAGCCAAACGGATAGAAAACAAAGAGTCAGTTAGCTCTCTTTGATAGTGTTTTTATATTGATGATAGTAGCAGTATATCAGTCAAATAATTTCAAGTGTGACCACTTCTGCGCCTTCAAACCACTTCTGGCTGCTTCTAACTTCTAGCAAACCAACCCGTGTATACACTCCAGCCTGGGCGTCTTCTGCTCTTAGAACCAGTGCAATCTGTGCTATATCGTCACAATTACCTGGAAATGTACCTATATTATGGATTTTCCGATATATAGGGAAGCTGGTACTCCCAATAAGTAGACAGTGCAACACATCGCCATCAAGGGTTTGATACGGGCCAGGCTCAGTTAGGCGTATATCTGGTGAGATGGCAGATGCGAAGCCGTGGAAGTAGACAAGTTGTCTCGGCCGCTTTCCGATAATGTCGAAAACTTCAAAGAATTCTGTTGCGATCATAGACCCGGAAAGGCGTAACTTTCCTTCTGTACATGCACCATAGGGATTTATACCAGAGATGGTAGTGGTATATGATAGACAATTTAAGTGCGCATCTTGGTTGAATCCTCTATTCAGTGGTATTTCATAAGATATCGACGAATCATCCGATAGAAGGCCCAATGCTATGGCACTCCAGGACCAAGATGGGGCGTTATTTCTCTGTTGCCTAGCGGCGGGACCTCCATGTGGATATTGAGGGATTCTCTTCCATGATAGTGATCTTTCAAGATCAGCACTCCATATGCCAGCTAGATAGTCACATTTCATGACATTAGAAAAATGGCCTGCCAATCCTGATAAAGCAGGGAGTATGTCGCTTTGCTTTGTGAGCTTTAATCTTGAATAGACCGTAATAATTCGAAACCAGTTGATTCCTGCTTCGCCCATGGTAATATCCTGGGGAAAATTTATGCCGGACTTCAAGCGATCATTTTCAAACAAATTCTCAAATTCGTTACATCCATCTGGCCTAAGAATTTCAAGTTTTTGGCATTCGCATGCAAGACTCGTCTTGCATTCCCAGACCAGCTCCCCGGGGTGGAAGTATAAAGTTCGCGGTGAAAGAAGGCGTTCTTGTAATGCCCAGGCGCGAATTCCTAGTGGTGTGTCATCAATCTGGTCTCCTAGGAAATGAGCATGCGCATCTCTGGGCATGAGACGAGTCATGACCGTAGTTGTGAGATCTTTAACACGATATGGTATAGCTATAGATCCCGTGGGAATGCACAAAGGCAAATCACCAACATTGCTGGTGTGTCTATCAGAGAAGCAACCACCATGATTGTTGGGTGAGTGGAGGATAGCAAGCGTAAGATATGATGAAGTGTATACCATGGCCATCTGAGAGGCTTCCGTCTCCCAGTCTACTGGGTCATCTTGAATGATACACAGTGAATCAATCCAAAGGTACCTTATTTCAAGCTGGCGTGTTATCATTACAGCTTCTTGAAAGGTTTTTGGGAGTTGGTCGAATTGAATTCCGCCGAGATGATCCTCGAAATTTGACTTAACGGTCATTATCATTTGGGTTTTGCCCCAACAATGACTTAGTGCAATGTAATTCTCGTATTGCAATGTTGTAGATTCCACGAGAGCAATACATTCATTTCTAGATCCACTGACATCTAGGATCCGTGAAGGCATTTGAGACAGATTGGCAGGTAAACAGTCCCGGTGGTTTATGGAACAGTCTCTTAACCATGGCCTCAAGATATTGAGGCAAATTTCAAGGTCGAGTGTCTTAGGGATATCTCTTAAACGTCCAAATGCTGGCCAAGCTGGCTCGTTATCTATCGATTTTAGCCTTGACCAATAAGATGATAGATCTACGAACTCGAGTTTGTATAAAACTCGAAGGAAACATGTCCTTCTGAGGAAACCCAAGAGTCCTCGTCTTGTGGTACATCACCCTCCACCAAGACCTCCAACCCAAGACCAGGATGAAATTGTAGGCCGATACTATCCGAAGCAGCCGGACTTTGCCATATAAGACGGCTTTCATACACCAATTCGGAGCAGCTTCTTGAAATGCCCTCTAGTAATATCGAGCAAGAGGGACATCCGTTTGTCGCAGAAAACTGTAAGGAGTCTGCCGAGGTCCAGATTCGTCGCTGTCCATTGATTCTTCGTACATCGTTATCAGAAAACTCGTCCATTTCTGGCGGTATGCAGTCTGGGTTAAGGTCGAAGCAAGTGTTGCATGATGCAATTCGAGATTGCCGAGTTGGAACCATTGTGCCTGAAGGTTTACGAGACATACGGACTATAGTACCATTCTCTGCTAAAGAGTAAACGTCAAGAGACATGATTCGGTTACCTGGCTGCGAAATAGTTGTTTCTTGAATAAAAGGTCGCAACTTGAATACACGGTTAAGTCTGAGGGTTAAGAAGCTTAGAAGTTTTTCTGCTTAAAATAAGGCTATCGGTGCTCTAGGCAACAGGATTATTTAAATTCTAATACGTTAGAAGGCCAGCTACAGCCGAGTATTTAAGACACGGCTTCGGCTTTCATCGGCCCTTATTCGTACTTTAGACCGAAGTAGCCTTAATAATATTATAACTAAGAGTACTCGGGCTTAAAGTATAAATACTCCATATGATAAAATTTATAGTATAACGAATTCTAATATCAGCAGTCGAACTACTTTAGCTTCTACTATGGTAATAAAACACACGTCTATAGCACGTACTTTATTAATAGTCGAACCTCGACGAAGGTCTTAGCGGGCCCGAGGATCTGCCGGGAGTACTCGAGTAGTGACTTGGTGGTTGCGTTCCTGCGGAACGATGCAGAGTCTCTGAGCGTAACCAGCAGGTGAATCTAATGACCCAGATCTACAGGAAGGCCACAGGTGTCCACATCTAGCCAGGGGGAGAAGACAACGATAGTGAACTTGCTATGGATCTAGTCCGCCACCTTGGCAGTTCCGGCCGGCGAGGTCCTGGAGATCCCGATATCGTTTGTCCTAAGACTACTGACCGAGCAGAGAGATGCCCACTGGAAAGCGATGACTGCGGTCTTCGAAAGACCTTGGTGGGAGCGCGTGTGGGTTTAACAGTACCGCATTCGTCCCATGCTTTTTGCAACCTCTTTTCCAACGTTTCCGATGTAAGATTGCGATCGATATCGAATAAGTCTTGGGTGATCATTAGCTGTTAGAATATGGGAGTTATGGGAGTTCCCCTGGCCGGCTGGTCAAGCCACTTAGGCACCCCACTTGGCACTTCTCCACTACAAAGGAGAAATGAGATATGTATACTCGCGATGAGCCGAATACACGGATATCATCGTATCCCATACTAATTAGTATAGCACATGATGATGGAGGCCCTGGGAAGTTATTCGGATACTATCGGTATTATTTCCTTGAGTTACCTGATTGATCACTTGACTCTATACATTCATTTGCCTATATATGTGAAGCTTTCACCCTATAGTATTAAACTTTGGAATCAATTCAATTATCCTATTCTATAACCTATTCTGACTAATCAATTACTTGTATTAAGTATACCAATTTGGGTCCTATTAATCAACAGTTATGAGCCCGGGCTACTAAAGTATCACGTAGTAAACAAATTGTTTGAGTATTCTTCATATTTATTTAGAATCCTATTAATTCTACTACCAATTCTTCAATACTTTCAAATCCCTTGCAATCTACACTTCTTACTACTTTATACTTTTCATATCTACTAATATATCGACAGAGTATTCAACTCCAACTATATCTAGACTACCCCTAGTTCTTGATAGGCCCAGAGACTAGGAACCTTAGCTTGAGACAGTTAGATCAATAGTTTCAGGAGAAGACCAGTACGCCTAGGAATATATTAATCCTAATTCGGAAACTATATAACAGTTCCAATAGTTCCTCTGGCGGGGAGTCGTATTGGAGGTGTTCTATTTCGTTTACGTAGCGAAGTAATATAGTGATCTCTTTTAATGATCTGTAAGTAATATCAGGGTGAGTGAATCACGGAGGGAATCAAATGTAATCAAAGTAAAATGTTATAATTGATATTCAAGAATCAAGTTGAACACGAAGCTCCTATCTAGTAAGGAAATTACATTATTTATATAGAACTTTCCTACTCCTAGATCTAGCTAGATCTAGATCTATTCAGATCCAAAGTCTGAACGGATCTAGATCCCCCCAGATCCTTTTCACGTAATCTCGTCACATGATTTTCTGCTGTCACGTGACCTCGTTATATACTTTTATAATTCTCTGTAGTAATGTAGTATATTACCCGAGCTTCAAGCTATAAAGTTGGCGTTTGTAACACTATCCTCTATATAACTTAGCGTAGTCTCTTAGTTTAAAAGTTATATCGAAAATATCGGACGTCAAGTATAACTTTCTTCTTTTTTCAATATAACTTCAAATTACGACAAGTTTAAGAACTATAGACTGTTTACTGATTTTATAAATTCTAAAAGTGACGAAATAATACTCTGCTCAAGTTGTGAAAAGTATGGTCGGACCTGCGTGGTCCTGAATGAAAAGTCGAAGAAGTGTAGTGAATGTGTTCGTCGAAGTTCGAAATACGACGTCAAAAGTGTCGCAATCAACAGCTTCGAGTCCTTTCAGCATATTTAGGAGAAGTTTCACTTTGAACGTGAAGCAGCTCTGGCAGCAGCGATAGAAGGCTTTGCTTGTGCCGAGTGTCTGAAGAAGTAGCAAGAGCTTCTCAAGTGTCGGATTTCTAATATAGTCGTTTAGGGGCTCCGTGATTTAGACGAGCTAGATGAAGTAAAGGAAAGAGAAAAGGAAGAAAAGGAAACGGAAGCTTGTCGTGAAGTAGAATCGAGACAGCTAGCTGCTACAACTAGTAGTTTTAGCAGCGACTTTTCTTTCGACTTTAGTCCTCTGCTAAGTCCTAATGACCTGATCTAGGCAACTTTTGATTTTAGTAGTAGAACTTCTCAAATATCTAGTAGTAGTTGAGATGAGTCCTAGGTTCCTATATGTTTTCCGAATATAAGTAGTCTAACTATTTGATTAAATATTTGACTGTGCTTTTGACTCGTCTATAGTCTAATATCTGTTCGACTTCGTATTCGGCGTTTGAGTTGATTAGTTCTATTTCGGTTATTAGCGTTAGTAGTACGTTTAGTAGTACTAGTTCAAAGAGAGAAATATAGAAAACCGGAAAGATGTTCATTGTCTTTAGTAAAGTAAGTTTATAATTCAGACGTCCTTTGAACTTCTTAATTTTGAATAATCTTAATTTCTTGTAGTCTAGTTTATCGCTTAGTCGTTTAGTTTTAATATTTTTTCTGAATAAGTAAACTCTGTCCTTCTTCTGTAGTGTTAGTTCTTGACTATATTTCGAATTGTAGTATAAAGCGCTTTTTTCTATAATAAACTGAAGTTCGCTACTTAGTTTTTTATGTAGGTCTTTGATTTCGTTTGTCTGGACTTGTACTAACTAGTTATCGATGTCTGATATCTAGGCCTTGTAATAGACACTGACGTTATAACTGTAATTAGCAAAGAATAGCGATACTTTCGTTGTGTCTGTGATTGTACTATTATATACAAATGCAGCAAGTAGGAGTAACAATACTTAATTGTCCTATTTATAGTTGATATAATAGTGTAAGTATACTTCGATTGTCTGATTCATTCTTTCTGTTCTACTGTTTATTTGTATATAGAAAGTAGTCGATAGTTTTCTTTTAACTCTTAAATAAACAGTTAAAGTAATCTAAAACTTAGATATAAAGAGTTTATCCTAATCGGATATAATTTCTTCTAGTATCTTATATCTTGCTACAACTTCTCGCAAGAAAGCGAATACAAGTTCTTCAGTTGTACTAGATTCCAGATATAGAATAACGATTATATACTTCGTAAATTGTTCAATAATAACTAGGATTGAGTTGTAAATCACTCCTATTATTAGATCTTTGGAAAGCGGGAGTTTAACAATAAAGTTCTATTAGATCGATTTCTATAATTGTTCCGGAATAGAAGTAGTTCCTATCTTTCTGTATAGTATATATTGTATACTCTTGTTGCGAATATAAATATTACACTCTTCTACTACTTACTTGACTAAGGTGTTAATCTTGTTAATATGATAGTGTTGTCTGATTCGCCAAAAAGTCCTGCTGATTCTTTAATGTCCATGAACTAGTACTATATAGTATTTGAAGATAAATTCCTTTGCGAACGCATCTAGGACTCACAGCTTCCTATTAGTGTAGTCTACGCGTTCCAAACTTTTCCCTTGGGCTTAGATGATCTCATCGTCCTATAGTCTTTTAGTTCTGTTAAAGGCGGCGATCTCCTTCGTATTAGGAACGAGGTTCCTGTCTTTATCTTCTCGAAAGATCGCTACTTTCTTGTAGACTTTGTCTCCTTCGTACTTAAACTACCTGCTTAGTACGTCGGCCCTGGAGTTGTCAATCCCTTTGACATATTTGATCTTCAAATCAAACTGAGAGAATTCTTCTACTTATCGTACTATTCGTCGATTATCTAGGACTTTAGTAGTTATAAAAGTTCTGAGATTCGCGTAGTCGGTTCGTATAGTGATCGGAAACTTTATACTTTAGAAGTATATCTTCTAGTACTTCAAAGCTTTGACTATAGTTATAAGTTCTTTCTTGTAAATATCGTAGTTCTACTCAGCTAACGAGTATTTCTCAGAATAGTAAGTTACAGAGTGTAGTTTTCCGTTCTCGTCTAGCTGAAAGTGTACAACGTCTACAGCTGTATCTGAAATGTCAGTTTCGACAATACTTGGCCGATCCTCGTGAAAGCTCGATATGACAAGTTCTTTGGTGTACTCATCTTTAAGTTCCTATATAGCCGCTCTCTCTTCGTTTCCTATAATGAATAGTACGTCTTTCTTCGTAAAACGTATAAATAGTACAGAGATATTTGAGTAATCTCTGATAAATTATCTTGAGAAGTTCCTAAATCCTAAGAATAATTGGATGTCTTTAACGTTCTGAAGTTCAAGCTAATCCTTAATTCGTTGGACTTTCCCTAGATTAATATTCATTTCTCTTAGTCAGATCACGTATCCTAAAAACAAAGTTTCTGTAACTCCGAATTCGCATTTTTCCAGTTTTAGTCTAAAGTCAACTCTTGCAAGAGCTTCTAGTACTAATCGGACATGTTTCTCATATTCCTAGATATTCTCGGAATAGATTAAGATATCGTCCAAGTAATAGATAACAAACTTATCCAAGTATTCTCGTAGAATATTGTCGTTCTAGTGTTAATATATTGTTAGCGTATTAGTCAACTTAAACAACATAACTGTATATTCGTATAGTCCTGAAAGTACGAGGAAAGCTGTTTTCTACTTGTGTCTCTCTTTGATTCTGATCAGGTTAAAAGCGTTCTGTTGATCAATCTTTGTAAATATCTTTACTTTAGCTAGTCTATCCCGCAGATACTAGGCGTTGGGCAATAAGTATTAGTCTTATATTATAACGTCATTTAGCTTTCGAAAATCGCTACAAAGTCTCCTCTTCGGATCCCCTAGTTTACTAGCGATCAATATATTCGATACTACTAGTGACTTAGATAGTCGAATCTATCTTTTCTTTAGTGCTACTATAACATATTCCTCTAACATCTTAGTAGTGTCGTAGCGATATCGTCGTAATCTCTCAGAAAGCAACTATTACTCTTCTTTCAGATTGATTTCGTAGTTCTATAGTTGATGTTCGAGTAGAGTACGTATATCTTCCGGGTTCTCGAACAATTTCTCAAATTCTTTATACTATACGGGGATCTTCTTACTACTTTTACTAGTATCCTGTAGAAGACTTTCGGCTAAGCGTCTTAGTATATTAGAAGAAGTAACGTTAACTTCTTTCTGGCTTTCTAGTTATTGTGAACTCTCATAATAGTATCGACTAAATGTGATAGTCTCTGTGACTTAGTCGATCTCAGAATTGTACTCTCAGATCCAAAGTATTCTTAAAATAGCTTAGTATCTTCCGATTAGTATAATATAAAACTATATATCTGCTATATGTCCGTCCTTCGTTGTCAATCTTGAAAAGACAGTTCTTTAGCTGATTACTCTGTTGTTATAATCTATTTACAAGCTGTCTACTACTGTTAATTCATAAAGTAGTATTCTTATAATTGGAATATTGAGTTTAGCGATAGTCGCAA